AGGAACTAGGCACAGGGAGAGGATTCACGCCAAATTACAGTGGGGACCAGCATCAAACACGAGCAGGTCAGGGAAAAGCACCTGATGCCACATTCCGGATTTGTGACCTTAGTCACATCTGAGACTCAGTCTTAACCCACCAAATGGTCAGCTTGTGGGGTCAGGAAAACAGAACAGTCTATTCAGCACCCAGCACAGTGCTGGCACCCCAATGCCCGCCTAGAGAGCCTACGCCAGGAACTTGGTCTCAGAAGAAACGGGAAGGGAAAGAATACAGGACTTCTGTGCTTTTCGATGTGGCCATAATTGTGGCTCAGTTACACCAAGTGGGGTCCTGATAAGAAACTGTTACCCAGAGCAGGAGGAAAGTAAGCTTAAGCCTGAGGTATGTGGCTCAGGTGACAAAGAGCTTCCTGAAAATCAGGGTTGCCAAATCAAATCAGAATGATTTAGGATGATTGTGCCAGAGTATAAGAGGCAAATATCTGCCCATCTTCCTGGGCTGACCAAGGTGTGGGGCATAATGAAGGAGGCTGGGATCAGCTAGTCACCCTGGAAAATGGGCTTGGAAATACATATGCCAAGAGCCAGGGTTGGATGTGACCCTGTGCTGTGATAAGAGCTACAGAACTAACGGAAACTGACAGAGGAGAGGAGACAGGGGCTGTCCTGGCTTTGAAAGCATTTGCAAGATTGGCCGTTAATTGCCCATTTGCGTGCACTTTGGAGGCTCCCCTGGTCTGCAGAAACCCAAGGGGGACAGTACAGAAAGAGGAGAAAGTCAATGAGTAAGCACTTGGAAGAAGGGAGTTAAAGGAAGTGGCCACTCTTGCAGAGTAGCCAGTAAACTAAGACGCATACACATGCTGGGAGAAACCTGCCTGGAGATTACAGGGCAGAGGGGGACCCTATGCAAGGACTTTAGTCAGCATTCCCATCTGGGGACAAATGATGGACTGAAAGATTACGGGGGAAAGATCAGGGCGTGAAGTCTTGTCCCCTCTGATCCCTCAAAATCCAAGCAAATCTGTTGCTTTTCCAAAGGACACCACTAGGGGCAACCGTGGCTCCTGGGTGCAATAGCAAAGCTTTCCTGAGAAGCCAAGGCTCTGGAGATCCCCACTGTTGCTCTGATCTGCTCCTGAAGGCCTTAGCCATCTGGAAGGAAAGTGAGGCAAAGGAGCAACTTCCTCCAATGGGGCACTCAGTGGCTTTGCCTGCGCCCCACTTGCTGAAGACCTGTTGGGGAACCAGAGCCTCGAAGACCCTACTGGTCTGGATAAGAGGCCACAGCCCTCTAGGCTGCAGGTTAAACACAGGAGGGGCACAGACAGGGCACAGACCTAGATATCAGACATCCAGCTCCAAGGTCACCTGGGAAATCCCAAGGTCACTTTGCCTGTGAAGACTCCAGCTCCTCTTCCAGTCACTCACCACTTCAGTTCAAAAGCAGCATCTCCTCCTGGTCATGTAAAGAAACCATCTCTACACTAACCACCTTGTAAGGCAGAGGAGCCCTGCCTTCCCCAAGAGAAACAAGGCTAAGTTACCTGAGGGCCCTTCCTGCCGAGCTGCCACCATCCAGGCATCCTGCTCACCCCAACATCTCAGGAACTACTACTACAGCCCATCAGAACTGCCTTCAAGTAAAATTATAGGACTCATTTGGCCTAAGAAGTCAGGAACCTTTTATAAAGGAAGGAAGACATTCAAGAACTGGGAACCCCAAACTGAAGTTAAAGAAAATTTCTAGATATCTAAAACACAAAGGCATCCCAATACCACAAAAAAAATTTAAAAATAAAAATAAAACCCAAAGACAGGCTTTCCAGGCAGGGGAGGAGAGATGACAGTGTAGGTGGACCTCCCTACAAACCCAAGTTCTGGGCCCTCCAACAAGTTCAAGTCCACTCCTCAGACTTGGAGGCCAATCCCGTACCAGGCTCGGTGCAAGGGATACAGGCAGAGACACCAGCGTCTACAGGATGGGACAGATAAGCGGTATAAGGGTGGGGAGAGCCCAGATGGGGGAATCAGGAGAAGCTTCCCGAAGGAGGCAGGCCTGGAGAGGACACGGAGGAGGCTCAAGTGGAGCTGCCCAGGCCCAGGCATGAGTGGGAAGGCTGAGGCCGATTCAGGATGGGACACGGGCCAGGGTGAAGGAGGAGCAAAGCAGGTGAAAGGCAGTGTCCCTCTTCTTCTTCCCGAGTAGCTCGAACTACTGAAAAGTGCCACTGCCCCTGGCTCTGGTCTTCCTTTTAAATATGCTCTTTCCAGCCAGGAACTGGGTACATGCCCGCAATCCCAACACTTGGAGACTGAGGCAGAAGGGTCACAAGTTCAAACCCACTCTCCCTGGGAACTTCTCCTCCTAGGAGACTGAAGTCTGGCAATTTAGCAACTTAGACCTTGTCTTTAAAAAAGAAATCTGACATGCATGTGTAAACATCATGTCTCACAAGTATGAGAAGCTGAAAAAAGCAATATATGTGTATATATATATATATATATATATATATATATATATATAGTTACGATAGTTATACTACTGATTTCTCTGAGCTTGCTGAAGAGAAAGGTTAGTGCTGGTACTATTTGGTTCAGTCCCCAGTAAGAGAGACAAGACAGAAAGAGAGAAAAGGGAGAGAGTGCACAGGTAATCTGCACAACCTATCTTTCCCCAGATTGTTCTGTCCTCTGAAAAGATCCTTCTCTACTCTGCTCAGCAAACTCCTACTCATCCCTATAGTCCCAGCACAAAGGTCCCCTCCTGCAAGAAGCCTTCCCTGCCTTCCTTCCTAAACATCTCCAGTGCCTGGCCCATCCCACTGGTGTCTCTTATATATCACTGTTCTGTTCCCCGCCTCCTCCCCATGGGACTCTTCCTTATCTGCAGACTCCCAGGACCTTGCCCAGTTGAACAGGCCGGAGGGAGATGAGAGGGAGGAGGGGACTAGGGAAGGAGGCCCTGGTGCTGATCTAAGGCCCTGATGGCTGGGCCCAGCAGCCAGTTCTCCTGATGTCTGTTTGCCACATATGACCTGGTACCTCCGGCTCAAGTCATGCATCTCCCTGACTCTGAGCTGCAGGGACACAGCTTCCACCACTACCTCCTAGAGCCTTCTGGCACCTCGTTATTTTGGAGGGCCCTGCTTGCCCTGGGAGACATGGACTGAGCGGGGTTCAAGACTCAGATGAGTTTCCTAAACTTCCTGCCTGCTGAGCTCTCATGCCAACCCCACAGGAAGCCCCCCCATGCCAACCCCAGAAGTGGCCTTCTAGGTACTATTGGGTAGAGATGTTTGATTCTCAGCTCAGCCTTGAACAGAGAGGCACCTCCTCCCTAGCTGTGAGGTCAAGCTGGGGACTTGAGGAAGGCTAGCTGCACCAGGGAAAACTGAGGCCATGGGCCTCCAGCTAGAGATGGAAGAAAAGTCTAGGTGATCAGAAGAATGACGCTGTCCAGGCAGTCTAGGCCTGGGTAGACTGCCTGGACAATGTCATTCTTCCCTGTACAGAGAACAGGCACCCGCCAGCCCCACTCAAAGTCAAGACTCCATCCTGCCAGCCCTCTTGTCAATTGGGGCTCCCTCAACTCACTGATCTGTGTTTCCTCTCAGCTGCCACAAAAAGCTTCTCTCCACTGCACACAAGAGGCTATGGGAAATGGTGGATGTGATGGGGGAAACCAGACTGGACCAGATTGGAGCCAGGGAATAGAACAGCCCTGCCCGCCAGCCCACACACTGTGCCAGCCACACCTCTGGCTTCCAGATTCACTTTCCCTGGGAACTTCTCCTCCTAGGAGACTGAAGACAGCCCTGGGGGCACTGTGCAGTGGAGACGGGACTTCATCCAAGAGGGGAGGGAAGGGGTTGAAGCCACCCCGTCCACCAGGCCAGCCTCCCCTGCCAACTCTCCCCAAGCACTGTAAGTCCAGGCTTGTCTCTGCGCCTGCCGGATTTCCCTCTCGCTTCTTCCATTTCTTCTGGAAGACAGTGGGAGGAGAGGCTAGGAGCCCTAGGCACCGGCCATCTCTGGGATGTCATTTATTACTGCTGGTAATCACCACCTCTCACCTCGTTAACTCTCCCTCATCGCTACTCTTGTCATCTCCGGGTCTACATCTGTCTCCCACCACCACCACCACTCAATGGGAGAAGAGGATGGAGACCCTTTCCCATGGCGACCCAGTGAGATTGGGCTTCTGAAAGCATTTTGGATGATCTGCAAATGGAAGGGGCTGTGTGCACCGCTGTACAGCTTCGGGCAGGAGGCAGACCACAGGACAGGGTCTCAGACCTACCCCGGAGCCCTGATGATGGTCCAGGGGCATGAACAGATGGGCAGTCCTTGCCCAGGATACCCAGCCAATGTCCTTCCTCCAGCAGCAGCTGCTCTGGTGCAAACTGACCCTTGCAAAGGGCAGAGTGGGGCAGAAAATTACCCCTGGGACCCCTCCCACCCACCCTGTCTTAGGCAATGGGAGAAATGTTGGGTCAAGGCTCAGCCTGGCACCTGACCCCCTCTGCAGCGAGGCAAAGTCCGGAGGTAGCCTTCCACCTAGTTGCCAGGGCAGGCAAGCAGCCTACCGCAAGATAAGGAACACACTTTGGACTCCACGGCAGAGAGCCGCGAGGGTACCTGGGGTCCCTGGGTACCCCCACAGGGCGCTGTCATTATCCTGCCTTCTCCCAGCCTCTCATTTATCCCTTCAGGTTCCACGATTCAGGTGCCTCGTGGGAATCTGGCCTGGAGGGGAGGGCGCGGGCCAGGGGGTGCTGTTCGTTCCGGTGCGAAGCAAAAGCGGAAAGGAGAGCGCTGCAAAATTAGCTCTCAAAAAAAAAAAAAAAAAATTAGCTCTCCAGGACGGGGAGACGGTGGCTCTGTCGGCCGGGGCTCCTCCGCTGTCCCCAGGCCCGGCCAGGGCAGTGGCGGGGCTGCGGCGGAGCGATGCCCGCGGGCAGGGGGCGGTGCTACTCGGGTCCCGCCCCGCTCCCTTCACCGTCCCCTCCCCGCCCCGCAAGGCGCCGGCCAGGTCCCGCCGGCCGCTGGGTCCCAGTCCCAGGCTGGCAGCAGGGCTGGCATCGCTGTCACGGCCCGCAGCTACGGGGTCCCCGGAGGAGAGCGGGTGCCAGGCACCTGCACGAACAGGTGAGCGGGAGCCCTGGGCGCAGGGGCGGGGCGGCCGGGATGGGCCTGGGAACTGGGGTTCAGGGCAAAGGCCTGGCATGAGGTGGTCGGGGTCAAGGCTAGGAAAGGACCCCGGGTAGGGAGGAAGCGGAGGGGCACACCCCTTAGAGGGAGGCGCTGGAATCCTGGTGAATCTTTTTTTTCTGCTCTTAAATCTGAAGGTGGGGCTAAGGAGGGACTTGGGGCCCAGCTAGTGATGGGACCCACATCTGCGAGGGTTCTGGAGGCCGCCTCCCTGCAGGGACATTAGGCTCCGTCCCTGGTACCGAGGGGCCCTGGCTGCTGAGAGCGTGGGTCACCTGCCCAGGTGTAGGGAGGAGGGATGGTGCACCACAGCCCTCCTTCTGGGCTGCCTCTAAGGCCCCCACCTCACTTCCTGTCCTTAGCCAGGAGAGTGCAGGTCACAGGCTGGTTCCCTTTTCAGTGAAGGGCCTGATATTAACGTTGTAGACTTCGATGCCTGCCTGTCAGCACTAGCAGAAAGATAGTGAGTAAAGGTGCCCATTTTCCAATCATCCTATTTGGGAGCGTGAAATTTGAATATCACACAAACTTCACTTTTTCCAAAACATTAGTTTTCTTTTGACTTGTTTTCAACTCTGAAGGTGTAAAACGCCATTCTTAGCTGGCAGGCTGTACATGAATGGATGGCAGTTGGGCGTCTCCAGCCATTCCCTCCCAGCTCGTGGCTTCCCCCACAGCTGCTTCCAAGCTATGTGCAGGCATCTAGGTGCAAGGGGAGTCCGGTCCTCAACACTAGGGCTCATCTGTGACCTTCACCCTCTGCTGCTTCTAGGAAGTCAGCAGCCTTTGAGGTCCCAGCCTTTGAGTTGGTCCCCAGATGTGCACACACATCCCGGGGAGGGTCTATCTCCAAAGGGCTTTCTACCCTACAAGCCTGGTTTACCCCAGCCCACCAAGTCACAGGAGAGGCAGCCAACGAGTGACCAAGTTCTTGGTCTCCTCCGCTGCATCTTCTTGCCCCTCCTTAGTCTCTACCTGGTGTCACCCACTGAACTAGCCTGGCCCTTCCATTCCCTTTTCTCTTATAGCCTCAGGGGACTCCCTTTCTCCTGATCCTGGAGTTATGACCCTTGGGAGGTGAGAAGGGATGCAGGCCCATGGGCCTCCACATGAGGGCCCCCTCCGAGGACTCGTGGCCTCCCGAATTGAGGCCTATGGGGGCCGGCATCGGGCCTCCACCCAGAGCACACCTGCCAGTCCCAATCCTCGAGGAGGCCCCGTGCAGGTAAGTTCAAAGTGCGTGTCGTGCATGTCACCCCAAAGGTGACATGGGTGGAGAGAGAGGGAGGACACCAGCTTTGAAGTCTCTGTCCTCTCATAGGTTTATCAGCAGCTCTATTCTTGTCTCTCACCCTCTTCTTCTCTCCCGGGCAGTGGTTCCCAGGATGTCCTATCCAGGTCTCAGATAGAGGGGGCAGGAGAGGCCCTGAACCTGGAGCAGCTGCCACGGAGGGGGTGCCACAGGGGCTTCTGGGAGATAGATCTGAAGCATAGCACTGTGGGAACACACCTCACACACCCCAGGTCCCGCCTCAATTTGGAAAGAGTTGAGGGCTCCTGGAGATGCACTTCCCTCTGAGTCAGGACTGAGAAAGGGCAAAGATCTAGGGAGTCCCCTGATGGGAAGGAGCACTGAACTTGTCTGGCTCCACCTCCAGCTCCACCTGCCTGGCCCACCTCCAGCCCAAGGGAGGAAACTGGTGTGGAAGCCTCAACTCCCTCTCCCAACTCAAGGACAATTCCGCCTTGCCTGGGGTATCCCCGGCCTCCCTAAAGGAGAATTTGACCCCTGGGCACAGGGACTCTCCCAGAGGGCAGGATGGGACACTAGGAAGTGTGTGGGTAATTCAGATGAAGGAATGTGACTGGGCCTGCCTTGGGAGGAGACTTGTGGCTGTGGCCTCAGCTGTCACCAGGAAGGGCAGCCACTCCCAGCTGGATGGGACCCAGGTTGCAGGCCCCTGAGGAAGAGGCCACACGCGCATGAACTCTCATCCCCATGTGTGAGGAGGGCGGGCCGTGGGCAGGGGAGGCCATGAGAGACTCAGCACAGGGTGCCCCTCGCAATGTCCCTGCAAGCCAGCGGTGCAGGGAACGCTGGCCAAGGGAGCAGATGCCAGGCACAGGCACCCAGGCCCAGGCATGTACCTGCCTGGGTGACTGCCCCGGAGGAGACCACTGCTCCTGCCCAGGCCCCTGGGAAGCCAAATGGGTACAGCCCTGCCCAACTCAGCTCGGCCTTCCTGGCAGCAGCCACCGTGACTCAGGCCTGCAGCAGGCCACACCAGACTAGTCTAAGGTGACTGCTGAGCCAGCCCAACCTGTGTGTAGAGGGGGAGGGGTTGGGAATCTAGAGCCAAGTCTGGCCTCCTCCCCCCCAGACCCTTTCAGTATTCCCAGAATTTTCCCTGTTCCTCCCACAGGATCCCAGTCGCCGCCGTTTTGCCAAGAGTCCTGGCCTATATCCCTTGACGTTGCGAGACCCAGAGCCTGAGAAAAGGCATGGAATCTATTTTGCGGTCAGCCCACCCTACTACCCCAGGCTTAAGGTAAGGAATCCCTCTGCCCCCATCTCCACAGCCCAGCTGCAGCAGCCTACAGAGGCACGGCACGGCAAGCCCACAGGGCAGAAGCCCGACCAAGAGACCAAGTCAGACACAGAGCTGTCCTCACACCCTCTTCAGGGTCTTCTCCACTTGGCCTTTGGGTTACATCCAACATTCAAGACGTTTCAATATACTCTAAAGCGTAAAACATTAATATTAAACTTCAGCTTTTGGACATGACCACATCACGTGCACATATGCCCCCCGCATCTCTACCTCTCAGCTCCTCGAGAAGGTCAGGAATACCTGTTACCCACATTATTTAGTATCAGAAGGCAATTATAAAATTTAAGCCATGCGGCTTCATAAAAATATCTGGCTTATGGCCAAATGTCAAAATGTTGCCTGAGATCATGTTTCCAAGCTGGCCTCCACTTTGAAGGCCCCTCTGAAGAGTCTGACTCTGGGCCCCAACCCTGTTCAGAACCAGGAGACCCCTTTCTGCTCAAGAAGCTTGATCAGTCCCTGTCCAAGAGCCAGGGATCATTCTGCAGACCAAGGTTCCTCTTCAGTTAGGTTCCAGCAATGCCCACTCCCCTGGGAGTGCAGCCAAGATGCAAGTCGGTGCTGTTACACACACACACACACACACACACACACACACACACACACACACACGGCCCTCCTAGGGCCAGACTGTTGGGGTGCTGAGGATATAGCCCACTGGTCCTTCCAGGAAATCACCAAGGCCCAGGAGCTGGAGGCGAGGTTGCGCACCTTCAGCATGTTTGGGATGCCCCGCCTGCCCCCCGAGGACCGGCGGCACTGGGAGATTGGCGAGGGCAGTGACAGCGGCCTGACCATTGAGAAGTCCTGGAGGGAGCTGGTGCCTGCACACAAGGTGAGCCTGAGACAGTGTCTATTGCTTGGTACGACGGACCCACAGCCACAGGGCTCACTTCTGCCTCAGAGACAAAAAAGACCTAAAGGGCTGGGGTCAGGTGGAAAAAAGACCAGAGTCCAGATTTGGGCTGGCTCAAATCCTAGCTGTGTCACAAGCGAGACCTCATGTGCAAAATGTAGGAGGACATTACCATTTGCACGCTAGAGGACTGGCTTAGGATGAAGAAGTCATGTGTAGAGGCCTTTTATACTTGGTACTGCTGCTGCCTTCCTTCCCCAAGTGAACCAGTGCTGTCCTCCCCCAGGAGATGAGCCGGGAGCTCTGCCACCAGCAGGAGGCCCTGTGGGAGCTGCTGACCACCGAGCTGATCTATGTGCGAAAGCTCAAGATCATGACTGATGTGAGCCCCGAGCCTGCCTCTCCTCGCTCCTTTCCTTTATCCCCCAGCCCTGCTCTCCCAGACCAGATGAAGCAGGTGCCCTGGAGAGGGAGGGCCAGGACCCCAAAGGGGCCCCAACCAGGCTTGCTGAAAACCTAAGGGGTGGAGGAGAGTTGGTGGGCCAGTGGTGTTGATGAGCTGGGCTGGGGTTCGGTGAGGAGAGGTCAGCACTAACCCATCGTCTCTGTCCCCACCTCCAGCTCGTGACTGCTGGTCTGCTGAACTTACAGCGAGTGGGGCTGCTGACGGAAGTGAGTGACGGAAAGTGTGTAACAGCGGACGGGGTCATAGGGAGCCTTCCCGGCGGCCTAGTTTGAATTCTCACCACCTCACTTTCTGGGACACCTTTGTCACTTCTACCCCCAATTTGCCCCAGGCCCCCCAGTGGGTCACAAGCTCCTCATTTCCTAGGACTCTGTCCAAGGGTGGAAGGAAAATCCAGGGCTCCTTACGCTTTTCCAGAAAGCCCCACCCCCACCATCCAGGCTATGATGCTCACCTGGCCCTGGTGATGCCACCTGACAGTGACCTGTCCAGGGCCTGCTGCTGAGTTCCATCCCCTTCTCCAGGTGTCAGCTGAGACCCTGTTTGGAAATGTCCCCAGCCTCATCCGAGCCCACCAGAGCTTTTGGGAGGAGGTGCTACAGCCATTCCTGGAGCAGACTCGGGCCTCAGGCCAGTGTCTAGACCCCGTCACCCTGAAGAATGGCTTTCTGACGGTGAGCCTGGAAGCTGAAAGCAGCATGGATTCTCTCCTAACATTTTGCTTTTGAACTTCAGCATCTGTGAGAGAAGGGTAGGACTGGAACAGTCCAGAAGGGCCCTGTCCACAGGACTCAGGTCTCCAACCCTAAAGCATCACCTCCCCTCCTGCACTCCATCCCACAAGTTTGACACATCCTGAAGGCTCTTGGGGGTCCTTGGAGGCCCTAATGAGATGAAAACTCAAGGACAGCGTACACCTACACTGTCATGAACTATAAAATCATACCCTTGGTCAGAAGTCCACCAGCTGGGGCTGGGGATTTAGCTCAGCGGCATAAGTGCCTGCCTTGCAAGCAGGCAGTTGTGAGTTCAATCCCTGGTACCGATAAAAACGAAAGAAAAAAAAAAAAAAGAAGAAGAAGTCCATCAGCTAAGAGTGGTGTGCAGGGCTGGGGCCTAAGCAAGGGGACTGTTAGGCACAGAGTCCTGGGGGATGGAGAAATGATGAGTGAGAGCAAGAGGGCCCGGGACCACCCTTTCTTCCACTCCGCTACCCAGCCAGAAGCCGTGGACGCTGCAGGAGGATGGTGCCTTGGGGTGGAGAGGGAGGGGACAGTCTCCCAGGAGCCTTGGCACTCCTTCCGAAGGAGCAGGACTCCTGGGCAACCTTCGGGTCACAGAAATAGGAGCTCCTGTGTCCTAAAAACGGGTGGCTGAATTATTGATGGTACAAAAGCAAGTGCAGAGGAGCAGGCACAGCAAGCGCAGGGGACAGCAGGAGCTCCAAGAGCAGCGGGGTCCTCCCACTGCCTCAGCTCCTCCCTGGAATGCAGAGGGCGACCCTGGCCAGTGGGGCAACCCTGGGAGGAGAAGTCTGGAGAGGAGCTTCACTTAAGGGGCCCTGTGAGGCTCTCTGTCACCCTGCTCCCTTGTTCTGCAGCCACAGGCTGTATTTGTGACCCTCTGCCCCCTGCCCACTCCTGGCCCTTTACCTGTCCCGCCAGTTTGGCCAGCGGTTCCAGCCCTATGTCCCGTACTGCCTGCAAGTGAAGAAGACCATGGCTTATGCCCGGGAGCAGCAAGACACCAACCCACTCTTCCATACGTTTGTGCAGGTGAGAGCAGCGGCCCCAAGGAGTGGGGGAGTGGGAGAGTGGGGGAGTGGGTACACCTGGACAGCCAGGAAACCCGTCTGCAGCTGGGTCCTGAGCTGAGCTTGGCACTAGGGAGGACAGGGAGGCACTAGCAGACTCCTGAGCCCCACCCACCTCCCCAGCAGTGGTGTGAGCAGCACAAGCGGTCAGGGAGGCAGACACTGGGTGATTTGCTCATCAAGCCCCACCAGCGCATCACCAAGTACCCACTGCTACTCCAGGCTGTGCTGAAAAAGAGCTCTGACACTCAAACCAAGGAGACCCTGAATGCCATGGTAGGTGCTCGGGCACAGCGAAGCCCCTTGTGGACTGGGGCTGGTGAGTGGGAATCGCTCTGCAGGTACCCTGACAGGACCATTCCAGCTGTTTTAGATACTGTGGTTGACACTGAGTGGGTACAGAGCTGAGCTGCCCCCCCTCCCCAACCCCAGATCACAAGTGTAGAGTCCTTCCTGCAACACATCAATGGGCAGGTGCGCCAGGGAGAAGAGCACGAGAACTTGGTGGCTGCAGCCCAGCGCATCGGTCCCTATGAGGTGCTGGAGCCACCCAGTGAGGAGGTGGAAAAGGTGAGCCAGGGCAAAGGAAAGAGGACTCAGAAAACAGGTGCCCCCTACCCTTGGGTGCCATGGCAAAGTGTGCCCAGTGTTCCTGCTGGGTGGCGAGGATCGGGGACAGAGTTTAGAAGGTTAAAAAAGAGGCACTGGGGTACTTGCTCTGGCTTCAGGTAGGGGAAGGTGGAAAGAGAAAATGGACATTCCTGCCCCTGTGACCCTCAGAAGCTGCGCCTTTTCTCCACCCTGGACTTGATGTCGCCTATTCTGGGGGTCTCCCTGGCGCACACCAGGCAACTGCTGCTGGAGGGACCCGTGCGGATGAAGGAGGGGCGAGATGCGAAGGTAAGTGAGCCATGTTGGGAGTGAGAAGATGGGGGGGCATCAAAGGGAGCAGAGTTGGGGAACTCTGGGGCGGGGGGAGGTCATGGTTCAGGCTCAGTTATGGTTGTTTATGTGACCTTAAGCCCATCCCTTTCCCTACCTGTAAGTCCAGCACCAGGACCAAACAGCCTGCTCTCCAGCCCAGCACCCCACAGCTCTGCCCACGACCCACCACGTGATCATGTGTGAGCCTGGCCCCCTGAACAGCCCTTCCCCTGGCTCCAACTGACTCATCTTTTTCCTCTCTGGTCCCACCTGCAGCTGGATGTGTACCTGTTCCTCTTCTCCGACGTGCTGCTAGTGACCAAGCCACAGCGCAGGACAGACAAGGCCAAAGTCATCCGCCCCCCTCTTATGCTGGAGAAGCTTGTGTGCCAACCGCTGCGAGACCCCAGTAGGTCTCTCCTTTCGGGAAACTCAGGATGGGGGCCACATGAGTCCCGACCATTACAGCCAACCTTCTCCTCCATCCAGACAGCTTCCTGGTCATTAGCCTCACCGAATTCCAGTGTGTCGCCAATGCGTTCATTGCACACTGCCCCACTCCCACAGATCGAGTACAGTGGCTGAAGAAGATACAGGAAACCCAGGTCTGTGAAAACCAGCCATGGGGAGGGATAGGCAGACCAAGGAGGGGAGGAAGAGGAAGGAGAGGCTGGGCCGGAAGCAAGTTCAGACGGGACCATCTGCCCCTGGGGTGCTCCCAGAAGGGGATGGCCTAGACCATCCCTAAAATAGCCTGCACGTGTTCCTGAGCCAGCTGCTGAGTCCTAATGACTTTTACATCCTGAAACAATTAGCTTCTAAACTTCATCTCCCATCACTGGGGCAACTCCTGGATACAGGCACAGGGCTAGGTGCTAGGAAATCAGAAGAGAATAACAAAGTGTCCCTGCCCTTTAGGAGCCTGAGCTGCAATCCAGGTAGAGTAATTAGGGTGCCAGTGGTAGAAATATGTTCGGAGGGACCTAGGAAAGGCGTGATGCCTTCTGTGGGGCAGGCAGGTCTGCTGGGAACAGGACAGTGGCAGGGGCTCACACCAGAGCTGAGGGACCATTCTGGGGAGAGCTAGGAGTACATGTGGGGACCAGGGTAGGAGGGAAGGACTGTCCAAGTGAAGAAACTGGATGTGCAAGGCCAAGAATAGGAAACAGAGGTGCATGTTGAGAGAACCCCTGACCTAGTACCGCCAGAGCTTAAAGTCCACGGGCGGACACGGCAGGAGCGAGGCTGAGAAGCAGACACCATAAGCTAGATCATGCCTGCCATTTCACGCTGCCCTCAGAACTGGTGAACTTTGTTCTACAGACAACATGGAGCCAGCGGAGGTGTGAAGCAGGGCAGTGCGTGGACAGATGTATGTGATAAAAGCAGTTCAGAACAGTGAGATCTAGATCAAGCTGTCTTAGTTTCCACAGAGTTGATGGCTTAAAACAACTCAAAGGAGGGTCAGTGACAGGGCCTTTAGGGCCTAGTATGCTCCAGGCCCTCAGCTCCATCCCCACCACTGCCAAAAACAACACAAAGAAACCAGAAGCCATTCTCTCACAGATGCAGAAGTTCAAAAGCAAAATTTTAGATGAGCCGAGCCTGTTAGGAGAGAATCCATGCTGCGTTCAGCTTCCAGTGGCCCAGGTGCCCTTGGCCACCGCAGCTCACTGCAGTCTCTGCATCTGTCTTCAGGTGCCCTTCTTTTTTGTGTGTCTGTCCCTTTCCTTTATCACACAGAGACACAGGGCATTAGATTTTGCGTGCACCCCAAATCCATGCAGGCTTCCTCCTGAGATCCTTGCACTGAGGTCCTGGCACATCTGGAGTCTCTCTTTCTGAATGGGTCACATTTTGTGGGCCCTGGGGTCAGGCTGTAGACATAACTTCCTGGTAGTCAGCCTCCTGCGGGAGGGATATGGACAGAGAAGGGAGAAGGTCTGAGATGGCTTTGTTTCCTTGTTTGTGGTGGTGGGGACAGAACTCAGGGCCTTGACTGTGCCAGACAAGTGTTCTGCCAGTGAGCTGGACTCTAAGGACGAGGAGGAGCCTGAGCAGAATGGAGGAGCCATGGATAACTTAGTGACTTAGCCAGCCTTATTTCAAAATAAAAAATATAAAACTGGTTACCTGTAATCCCTGCACTTTGAGAAGCTGAGGCAGGAGAATTAAAAGTTCAAGTTCCACCTGCCTCAAGTTCAAGATCCTCCTGCCTCAACTACTCAGAGTGCTGAGGCTGTAGGCAACCTCCACCACACCCAACTTGGCTTTCAGTTTTACCCTTCACCCCTTAGAACTCCTCAGGGCCACTAAAACTGTTGCTATTTATATGCCAAATAATCTAGCGGGCGCCCCCCACCCCACCTATTCTGACTTCAGGCTGACAGATGGAATGACCTATGAGTCTCCCTCAGCAAAAGAAAGAAGCCTGAAACACTGAAGTGCACTTTGCTGTCATTGTCTCAGCAAATTCTTAGGGAATCCTTGCTCAGTCACTCTCAGCCTTTCTAAATGAACAGCAAGGAGGGTGTCTATTGGTCTCCTTCAAGCAGCCCTTCTCAGGGCTCAGCCCTGTCCTCCTCCTTGCAGACACAAATGGGAAGGCTGGGGGAGCTGGCTGACACTTTCAGAGAAAATGAGCCTCTCAAGGAGAGACAGACGGAATCTTGACAGATTCCACAGTTAGCAGCTGGGAAGAGGAAAGGGGACTAGAGAAGGGGGACACAGAGAGTGATCAGAGATGTGAGCCCAGAAATAACAGCAGGGCAGACTTTGGAAGTGGCAGAGAGTAGCAGGGGAACCCAGCCAGCTGCTGTGCCCTCTCACAACCTCGCGAAGCCTGGCTTCATCTGGGAACCACAGTAATGATGGCAACTATTATGTGGCGCAGACAGGGAATTAATTATATAAATGGCTTGGCAAAAGATCCCGCACTTCATGGGTGCTCCAAAAATGTGCGTCATTTGTCCTCCTTAGAAGAAAGAGCCAGGCAGTGTTGCCAGGGCTGGGGGAATACATCAGCCTCTGCCATGCAGGAAGTCCTCAGGCATCTTCTGGAGATCTGTCTCGATCCAGTAGTGGGTACAGCAGAACAGAGCAGGTAAATCTGGAGCCACCCCAAGAATGCAGGGAGAGGTGGCATTCCTTCCACAGGGACACAGAAGAGTCCTGCCAGGGGAGCCCTTCTTCCCTGTCAGAGCTCTGTATGGTGGAGCGGAGGGGGCATAGTCTAGCTCAAGCACTAGTTCCTTCTTCCTTTCCAGCTCTGCCCGCCAAGTCTCTCTTCTTACCCTCCCAGCGGTGCAGGGAAAGCTTTGGGGGTGCTGGCAGCCTCATGGCCTGGTGCCTAAGGCTCCCCCAGCTTCCTTCTTCCCAGGGAATGGCAAGGGGCAAGTTTAGTGTTGCTGTTGGACCCCTTCAGAAACCTTTTTTCCTTCCAATTCTTTTCTTCCACACCACACCCCTAGCCTGGGCAGCCCACCCACAAACTTGATCTTGGCCATCTCAACAGGACAAGCAGGCTGCTCCAGCCCTTCCATCCTCCTTTTCTCATTCCTTCCTTTCCCCCACACAAAGAGGGGGAAAGAGTGGCCACAGATCCCCTGGTGTGCCAGCTTCCTGATCACAAGCACCATCCCTGTTCTGGCTGAGTGACCCCCCACATACCGGAGTGCCAGCTCTGGAGAGCCAGGGAGAGGAGCCTGGGAAATATTCGACTGTTGTCATTTCCCTAGAAATGTTCATCATTTCTCCAACACGCCTCTTGCCTAACTCTGCTACCCAGTGTCCCTGGTGCAGCTGAGGTGCCCAAGAGTTGCTTCCTAGCTCTTATACCTCAAGCTAGGGAATATTAACTTTATGTAACAACTACAATGGCCTGGGCGTCAACCAATCAGAATGGAGCATGGGGGAGTGGCAGTATGGAGTGGGGATGGTGCTCAGGGTCCCCCAGGGTGCCAGATGTTTGTTATCCCTCTACTTGCTGGATTATATTAGGAAGAGGCCTGGGGGTGGAGAGGCAGGACACTCAGGCCACAGCCATTTCCTTACCAGCGTAAGTATTTTAACAGCATGGTTGTACCAAAGAGGACTGATCTTGGCACTGCCCACAGCAGCCACCACTACCCACCCACCTCTCTTGCCAAACTTCCCCCTACAACCTCTTCATGGGTTCTGCTACCTCCTGCCTGGCTAACCCCCGCAGTAAACTTTCGACCCTTCAAAGCTTGAAAAGCTGTGTAGTAGCCAGGTGTGTAATCCCAGCAGGCCAGAGGAAGGAGAGAAAGAGAAAAGAGAGGGACAGAGCTGCACAGTTACTGAACTATGACCTAAAGCTGGGCCCTGTCCAGCTGTTCTCTCCTGCTGTATGACCTTGAGCAAATAGCTACATCTCTCTAAATCTAATGTTCTCCTCTGTAAAGTGGGCTGATCCTCAGGCTTCCACACACAGGGCAGTGGTGTCACTAGATGCCACATGCACACGGAGGTGCCTTGTAAACCCCATCTCATCTTGGATGCAGTGTTATTCTGATGCACGTGTGTGTAAGAACGCTGAAGAAGAGACAGATAGTACAGCATGCCCTGCACAGCCTTCTAGGACAGTCTTCTGCAGGACAGCAATGTCTTCAGCCTAGGACAAAGCCTGCCCTGCCCACTATCTGTCCTCTTACTCCTCCCAGCTGCAGAGCAGATGCCCAGATTTGAGGGCACTAACACCACACTAGCATCAAAGACAAGGAGCATGTTCTGAAGAATTTGCCCAAGGGGCATGAGAGAAAGAATGGCACCAAGAGTGGGGAGAAGCATTCTACACAGCCCATGTATTCCCAGAGCCAGCTCTGGAGGTTATCATCACTAAATCTGGCACCACCCTGCTTCTTTAGTGTGACTTTAACCTGCCAGTCTTCACTTCTCAGTGGTAGAATAGGATAAACATAACCCAGACCCTCACAGGGATTTGGAGATGATTAAACAAGATAAGGTATGCAAAGCGCTTACACAGTGCTGGGCACACGGTGCTCTGTAAGAAGAGCTCTTCATAATGAAAGTGCCCCTCCCCAGGTCGCCCTGCGGAAGTTGAAGGTAGAGGAGTATGTCCAACAGAAGAGGGAGCTCCCGGCCCTATATGGAGATCAGGACCGCGAGTGCCCCAGCACCAGGCCCTCCACACCTTCCCTGGAAGGCTCTCAGAGCAGCGCAGAGGAGAGGTAAGACCCACCTATGCTGCCAGATGGGAGGCCACAGTCAGGGAGAGGGAGGGCGGGAGCCCAGAAGGCTGAGAAGTGGCAGCACAGCATTGGCAGAACTGGCACAAATAGAGGGCAGCAGGCTATAGGTTGGAGCAAAGCTGGCCTGAGAAGGGATGCCTGGGGCAGCCAGTAGGGAGAGCCAGCCTAGGATTGGCACAGTTTGAAGGAAAGAGAAAACAGAACAGGTGAATTACTGATAAGGATGAGGACGGGGAAAAGGTGACCCTGGAGCTGTACAACAGCAGAGCTGCAGGCCGTGGCAAACCCAGCTCTCCAGAATGTGCTAGGATCATCCAGGGTAACACGGCTGCTTAGCAGCATGCTTACAGGAACAAGAAGCATCCATCGGGGCTGGAGATTTAGCTCAGCGGCATAAGCGCCTGCCTTGCAAGCAGGCAGTCATGAGTTCGATCCCCGGTACCGATAAAAAGGAAAAAGTCAAAAAAAAAAAAAAAAAAAAAAGCATCCATCGTGTGGGTGCAGTCTGAGTCACCTCCCATGATAGCCTGAGTTCTTCTCATCTCAGGACCTGCCTAGCAAATACCTGACCATCTGCTCTACACAGGTCCCGGACTGGGCCTGTGGATCAAATAGCTTGGGGCAGTCTGAGCGCTTTTAGTGATCACAGTTCAGCCAGTGAGATGAAAAAAATCATCACAGTCCCTTGTACAGGGACATGTGAGTAAATTTGGAGGAGGAGCCATTTCCAGATGAAGTCGTGAAGGTAGACTTCCTGGACTTGCACCTGACTCCAAAGCGTGAGTCTAGCCGTTTGCCTTTCATTGTAGGACTGCTGAATTCACCGCCCCCCACCTGGTGGTGACAGAGGACACAGAGGGAGACACTTCCTCTGTACTAGACGATGCTTCAGACTCTGGCTATGGCACTTTGATCGCAAGTTCGCCCAAGGAGCCCCCCTCTCCACTGAGCCGATTACGACCCAAGGCTTTTCGAAGGGACCCCCGCCTCACCTTCTCCACCCTGGACCTCCGAAATGTTCCTTTGCGTCCCCAGCCTCCCGACCCCCAAGCTTCTAAACGCCTAAGCGCCCCGGAACTGCCTGAAGATATCGGAAGAGGGGGCAGTCTTCCCAGAGGAGAAACGCCCACCTGGTCTGAGGAGGAGGAGGGGACCTTGGCTGGGCGGCGGAATATGGTGGTGGAAACGCTGCACCGAGCTAAGCTGCGGGAGCAGCACTCGCCCTCCTCAACCCACGCTGATTCTGCCGCTGACTCTGCTGGCGAGAGCCCCTGGGAGTCTTCGGAGGACGAGGGACCTCCCTTCCTAAGCCCGGAGTGCAGCCCCCGAGCCCATCCACTCCGGGCTGAGGACATGCTGCGGGAGATCCGAGAGGACCTGGCCAACCAAAGGATTGAGGGAGCCCCGGAGCCTCGGGAGAGTAGGCCTCGGAAGCTGACGCGTGCCCAGCTGCAGAGGATGCGGGGCACCCACATTATACAGCTGGACACCCCTCTGTCTGTGTCGTAAGTGCCAAAAGGAGGCTGGCCTTGGGCAGAGTAGGGAAGCAGTGGGCAGTGTAGGATGGGCCACAGGCGATCGGTGCAGGCCAGGGACCGACAAGTGCTCTTAGCCTCCTTTCAGCCTGGCCTGACCTTCATGCTAACCTTCACCTAACACCTGCCTCCTTGCTTTTCAGAGAAGTGTGAGCAATGCTGAGGACCTCTGGAGTATCTCTCAGAGGAAATGTCTCCCCAAGAGTGCTGGCCACCACCCCACCCCTGGACTCTACCTCAAGGACCCCGAGACGCCTGGCCCAGGCTCCACTCTCAGGACTGTGGATTTTTGTATCATAGACACCCCAGAGCCCCACATAAAATTGTGTATAAAAATCACGGCTTGGTCAGCGGTAGATGTGGGTGAGGAGATCCTGGGTGCGGGGTCACAGGAGCACAGGCTAACCCACCAGCTGGCTGGATGGCAAGGGTCTGCTTCCGTGCCACGCCCAGAATCCCGGCCTCACCCTAGCCTCCTGCCCCTTGACCATCGCCCCCAGAAGCAGAGGTTTAATTTCAGAGTTTTAGTGTATTTACATAAGTCCACGGCTCCAGCTGGAGGTCCCACTGTTCTGTGCTTGCTCCTGCCTGGGGACCATCCAGGCTGTTTCCATTAGTGTGATAAGATTGAGACAAAGCTTGCTTATCTACTGTGAAAAAGGCCCAGGGACCACCCAGGGTCGCTAAGCAGCCTTGCTGCACCCCTGAGGCATAATGCCCCTTTCTCTGCTGGCAGTGAGCAAGCAGACCCGTGCTCCACTACCTGCACTCTCCACTACCTGCACACAGGCAGCTGAGAAAAAACTATGCCCGTCCACCCGCTGAGGGGGTAGCACCAATTAAGTGACTGCCTTCTCGGCCTAGTCCTCCAAGATCGCCCTCGCCGAGGAGGATGGGTAGTCCACAGGGCATCCTGCGCAATGGCCTTGGCGTGACGCCCTAAAGAGTATCCACACCCTAGGGCGGGCCCTCACTCTTTGGGGGCGTGGCCTCAGAGGGTCCCGTCGAGGGGGCGTGGCCTAGCCTTTCGGGTGGACTGTGGGCGCGGCCTCATCGGGGGAGGTGGGGCGCGGGCAGCAGGGAGGCGGGGCCTTGCAGCGACTCCAGGATGTCCTCCAGGCAGCCCTGGAGGTCCATGTCGCGAAGCACGCGGCCCAGCAGGTCCAGCGTGGCCTCTCGTCGTGGTGTGCGCTGCCGCCAGGCCGACAGCATGCTATAGTGCGCCTCGCGCAGGCAGCGCGGGTTCTGCAGCTCCAGCCGCTCGATCTCGTGCTCGCTCAGTCCCAGGCGTCGCATGAACTCCTTCCAGCGGGTCGGAGGCACGCCGTCCACCACGGCGTATAGCGTCGTGGGCTCGGCTGCGAGGGATGAAGCGGGTGAGTCTCCGACGGCGGCCTCCCCCGGGCGTGATTGGGCTTGCCAGCGACCACATTCACCATCCAGGACCTGCGCACCAGCGCCGTCCTGTCTCTTGCGGGCGGCCGTGTGGATGGGCTCAGAGGTGTTTGCCAAACTGAAGACGGGCTCGGGCCCCACGGATGGTGGGGCCACCACACTGTAGGGTGCCGCATCCCTGAAATCGGACCAGACACGGGGAGTGAGGGGGGAGCTAGGGGTGAGGCTGGAGCTGGGGACAGAGGTGAAGTCCTTGGTCGTGGTTAAGGGCTTAGTACTGATGCCTTCAAGCTCGCCCTGAAAGAGAGAAGACACAGCATCAGTAGCAGGCCGGCTGCGAGGCCTTCTTTTAGTCTAGACAGGGGTGGGGTGAGATGGAAGTAAGGGACTGGGTGGCACAGGGACCCGACTATGTGGGTGGTAGGTGATCATAAGGGGCAGTCAGGGATGACTGGGCATAGACCCTGGTTTCCTCACCTCTTTCACTGGAGCTGATTTCCCACACACTGAGAAAAAAAAAAACAAAGTGTCATAAATTTCACTTCTCCTCTGGCCCCTGGTCCTGCACTGGGGTTGGCCTCAGATACTTGTGGTGACATGCCTCAGGGGCTATGGGGCCCCAGGGAGGAGAACCACTGATGCAGCATAACCTCCCCCAGCCCTGGAGGGCCAATTCCTGCCAGGGACACTTCTCCTTCCCTCCCTCAATCTTTCCCACCCAGCCTCCTCCCACACCCACATGTCACTCTGCCCCCCACCCCCAAGTCTCTCCTTACCAATGGAGTAGAGCTTAGGCTTCCATCGTGGATAGCGGCACATCAAAATGATGAAGAAGATGGATAAAAGGCAAAGGCCCAAGAAGATCACCAGAGGCAACAGCACTGTGGTACCTGGAGGCAGAAGTAGATCTGGTGAGGAGAGGAAGGGGTAGAGAGGCAGGATGAGGGAGAGGACAGGTGGGCATGGCTCCAGGTCACTTCTCACCTGAGTCCTGCGGGGGCTTAATTACAGGGTCAGGGCGCGGGCACACCTTTGTGCACTCTGAATCTTGCTTACATCTGAAAGGAGAGACAGCGCTGGTGAACAGAGGCCTTGTCAATTAGAGGAACACAAAAGAAAACACCCAAAGATTGTTGGAAATTCTTTGCCTTAAAAGTTTTCCTAAAAACAAATTAAAAATTAAAAAAAAATAGTTTTGCTATCTCTTGATCTAATGGAATTTGACCTATTTTGAGAATTAATGCAAAATGAAACATAGTTCATCAGGGTCATGTAATTTTAGAATTAGAAGGGATCTTTTTGTTTTTATTTTTGTTTTCTTGAGACAAGATCTCACTGTGTAGTTCAGGCTGTGCTGACCTTGAACTCACTATGTAGCCCAGGCTAGCCTTGAATTGACTACATAGCCCACAGTAATCCTCTTGCCTTGGCCTCCTAAGTGCTGGGATTCCAGGCATGTATCACCATGCCGGGCACAGAAGGGATGCTGAAAAGGCTATTTGAAAAAAAATTAAAAGCAATCAAGATCACAAGGCTGGAGGTATAACTTAGTAGAGGGATAGCCTCGTACTTATAAGGTCCTGGGTTCAATCCCCAGCACCACCACAAAACAAAACAAAAAAGCAGTCAAGGTTACAGTATAACTTCCAGGCCATTCTTTGGCTAACAGTGCGTTCTAATCAAGCCATTTCACTGCTAAGCCTCAGTGACCTAGAGATCATACCCACGTCAGTCTTGAGGACTAAGATAATTAATTATGTTCGACTTACTAAGTGCTCAGTAAATGGTAACTGTTTTTGAGTTGCTATTTTTCCTTGTTTTGCAGATGAGATTGTGGCACAGAGGGGTGCTGTGGTTTGGATCTGGAATGTCCTCAAAGGGCTCGTATGTTACAGGCTTGGTTCCCAACCTGTGGCACTATTGGGAAGTGGTGAAACTTTTAGGAGGTGCAGCCTCATGGGAGGAAATTAGGTGATTTAGGGTGTGCTCTCTAATGAGATATTAGGATTCTGGCTTCCTGCCCACCATGAAGTGAGCAGTTTTGTCCCACCTTGCATTCTTACCATGATGCCCTGCCTTAACATAGGCCCAAAAATATAGCCAACCAACCATGGACTGAACCCTCAGAAACTGTGAACCTAAATCTATTTTTTTCTCCACTTTTTTTTTTTTTTTTTTTTTTTTTGAGACAAGGTCTTGCCATGCAGTTCAGGCTGGCCTTGAGCTCACTTTGTAGCCCATGCTGGTCTTGAACTTTGCAACCATCCTCCTACCTCAGCTTCCCAAGTGCTAGGATTACAGGTGTGTACCACCATACCTGGCCCCCTTATAAATTGCTTATCCTGGTTTTGTCAAAGCAGCTAATGGCTAACACAATGTGTTAAAGGACTTTTTCTCAAATGATACAGCTAGTTATAGTATCTGACTTAGAGGGGGATCAAATATGCACGTGAAAGACCTCTATAGAACCATTACATCTTTTCCTGCTAGGGACCACTTTGGGCAGTGTGGTGTAATGAATTACACAGAGCAGAATGTAAGTCCTCCTAAGAATTCAAAAGCAAGGAGGGGTGTTTTCGCCACCTTACAAGCTTATGGTGAAACCAGGTGGATGTTGTAAGAGCTCTTTCAAGAAGAGATGAAAGTTAATGGAAAACATAGAAAATAATGTGTGACTGATACTTTTTGCAATGCTGGGGGCTAGGCAAATGCCCAACCACTGAGCTATAACCTAAGCTTCACTGATTTATTCATAAGGGAAGTCAAGGCTCAGAGATCTTTGCCCTAGGTCACACAATCAGTAAGTCTAGGTCAGTTCACCCCTGAGAACCCTCTGAGTTTCTTCTGTGCAAGTGAGTGTGCAAGGAGAGGCTTTGTGGAGGCCTACTCAAGGACACTAGGGGGCACACTGTTGTGACCCTACAGTAATACGCAGCACTATTCTTTACATACCCCACATACATGTGCATGCACACATACATGTGTGCACAGCACTGCCAACCAAGCCATGATGTATCATCAATTGTAAGACACAGTCTGATTCCACAGCCACGAAAGTGTGTACCCTAGAGTCAACAAATGTTAGTAAAACTCATTGACCAATGGTTCAAAAACCTGAGTTGAAAAGGTTTCAAGTCTTAGGGATGAATTTCTATCCCCAAGTGCTTTTTAAAATTTGAGGACGGAGTTGGGGATTGCTAAATCAGTGACATAAGCACCTGCCTGACAAGTATGAGGTTGTGAATTCAGAGGTTGTGAATTTGATCCCCATTCTCAAAAAAAAAAAAAAAAATGAGGATCATGTTGTGGAGATGAGGGAAGGAAAGGCATCACTTAAAAATTTTTTTTTACCTTTCCATACTAGAAATTAAGCCTTGAGCCTTCATACCTAGCCCATTTTAATTCTGAGACAAGATCTTGCTGAATTGTTAACTTGCCTAGGCTAAGCTCAGATTTGCAATCCTCCTGCCTCAGCCTCCTAGAGTGTTGGGATTATAGCCTTGGGTCACCACTCACTCAGCCAGCCAGTGACAGCCTGAGCACTCTGGGGATCTCCCTTGCCTTGCTACGAGCTATCAGCTACCACCACCCCTCCCCAGGTCACCCCATACCCCTTGTCCTATGCCTGCAGATGGATACTCACTTGCTGCAGGAGACACACTCGCTCCCTTTTGGAAAGAAGCCTGTGTGGCAAGTACACACGGTGTTCTGTCTCTCCTGGCCTGTGGGAAGAAGTGCCATACACTAAAGGACATGCATCCTGCACTCCAGGGCCAGAGGAGGGCAGAGGGGCAGAGTCAGGTGGCCAGATGGGCAGATGGGCAGCTCCTCAGACCCACAGACCATGGAGCAGAGGGGAAGGAGAGGAAGAGCTACCTCATGGGAAAGGTGGAGCCCTTCTGGGAGATGGACTGGTCCCAAGGTGGGGTAGGGAGGCCGTGGGTGTGGGTATGGGCATGGGCCCACTGTACTCACAGGGGATTATCACAGTGCCATTGAGGCAGAGGCTGCAGTTGAGGCACTGGAAATGTTTTGAACTGAAATAGTCCCGGAACTGGTTCTCCCCACAGCCACACACGGTGTCCCGGTCTACTGTACAAGAACTAAGCTCCACCTGGAACAGTTCTGGTAAGAGGAAAGATAGTGTGAGTCCTTCATTGCTTTTCCATGTTAACTCTACTTCCCCTTTCCCTGCAGTACTGGGAATTAGGCCCAGAGCACTCTACCACTGAGATACACCCCAACCCTGTATAGTTTTCATCTTGAGATGGGGCCTCACTAAGTCCCTAAACTTCCCAGGAGGGCTTGGAGCTGACAGTCCTCCTGCTCAGCCTCCAAGTAGCTTGTACCACTGCAGCTAGCTCCTGAAATCCCTTCTTAACATCCCTCGCCATGCATATCTCTTTCTGTGCCTCATATTCATACCCATTCACACACAACCTGCGTGTACCACCAGCACCAATCTGAAGATCCCCCCAGCTGCCTGTGCAGCCTTCGCGCCCAGGCCACACCTCTTCCCAAACCCCAGTGCTGCCAGGAGACTGACCTTCCCGACATCGGGAACAGCTGAAGCACTTCCGGTGGTAGTTCTCAGAAGAGGTGAAGGTGCCATTTTCACACTCTCTGCAGTCTGTGTCTAGCCCTGGGCCCAGACAGTCATTGTACAAGTAGGTCCCTGTGAACAACAGGACATCAGGGTTAGGCTGCTGTGGAGAATCCAAGAAAAGAACCTTGTGCCAGGGCCTCCCTGCTGAAGTCCTTAAGTGAAGGAAGCGGGGAGAAAATCCCAGCAACTGGGGGACAGGCTTGGGGTCAGGGACCTAAATCTTGGAGAATCTGGCATAAGCAAGCAAAGACTCCAGCCCTGACACTGAGGGGACTCACTGTTACCACTTTCTCCTACCTTTGTGGCACTTGGTGCAGCAGATAGAATTATTTTTAGGGTGGCTGTATTTTCCCTGGGGACACAGACTGTCCCTCTTCTCCCGATCTCCAAAGGGAGGGACCAGGCCAATGACACCTGATGAGTGTATCCACACCAGCAGAGCCAGGAGCACCTGGGGAAATCAGAGGAAAGAGAATCCCATGAGGAGAACCAGGCATGGGGAGCTGGGTGGCAGCAATCTAACTCTTCCCAGCACAAGCTGCTGCTCCAACCTCCTCCCCTTAGCCGCTGCTAGGCTTCTAATGGGCCCCAGCGCTAATTCTTACTACCTCAACCCCAAGGGTAGCAGGCCCTGACTGCGGCCCCCAGTGCTGGATACAGAGCAGATATTCAAGGAATGCTTCACTGTAGTTGTTGCTCACGGTCCTGGGGATGGAACCAGGAGCCTGGTACATGCTGAACACACACTCTACTGTGGGCTACACCTCAATCAGAGAGTAGCTTTAGGATGGGGAACTGGCAGTTTACTTCGATGATGGTCTTTTCTCCTGAGACCAGACACAGCCCTAGAGATGGGGGAGGCCATTTCTCAGGCTGGTGTGGGATTGCCAGGGCACTTGTGTGGTGAACATTCACAGAGGTGAACAGTTAGATTCTGTAAACTCTCCTGGGTTATGTTCTACTGCCAGAAAGTATTTTTAAAAATCATATGAGGGTGGAAGGGAGTAGTACCACTTCTGAGGAGCAGGCAGAAGCTAACAGGAGAATTTCTTTATACATTTATGGTAAACTTTACTCAGGACTCGGTCCTCACACTCCCTGTCCCCGTGCTTACACCACTAAGATTTTTATACACATACCCCCAAGCTGGCAAGGACAGGTGAGGCAGGAATCAGAGCAAAAGTTGAGGTGTCAGGCATGGAGTGGGGGCAGACAATGTTTGGGAGGCCGGGAAAGAGCACAGACTTGTGGGTCACAGGCAACCAGAGCAGGCCAGAGGTGGGGATGCAGCTCCATCGGCCAAAGGATCAGGAGCTGAGTGTGTGCCGGGGAATCCCGGTGTCCTCGGCACCCTGGGAGGCAGGCTGTACAACCTTGAACCAAACCCACAGGAGCTGAAAGACTTTCCTGTTTCTGGCTTCAGTTTCGAGAAAACAAAAGCCAGGAGTCCATATTTAGCTCCTACTTTCAGACTTTGCTCTTAGGTCTCTCCCGGCTTGACTCTGCTTCTCCCGGATCTTGATTGTTTTTCCTCTCTTCTATGAGTCATTTTATGTCAAAATAGAGGTGTCTTCCAAGAATATTAAACACTGAGGAGCAGCAGACTTATCTGATCATGAAAACCCCAGCCCAAGAGAGGAGTTCCTCACGCCTCCAGTTTCCAAAATGGCAGGCAGATGACACAGTCATTCGTTGGGAGCTGCCACTGCCGCAGCTGCACAGGTCCGGAAGCCCGAGCCTCTGTCACAAACCTGGAATGCCACTTGCCACTCACTAAAGCCCAGCATCAGCCCAGGAGCAGGGGTGCCCCTGAACTCAGGACAGTGCCTTCCAGGGTGACAGGAAGGGCTGGTTATGGGAAGAGCTTCCCAATCCCAAATGAGTGGTTCCTTCCCAGAAGAAGTTGGTACTTGGAATGTCACCAGGGTACTGAGGGCAAAGCCAACAGGCAGACCCAGGTTAGGAGGGGGACTGAGGCTCCAGGCCTGGGGCAACCTTGGAGCAGTGAGGGGGAGCCTCACTAGAGGGAGCTTGAGAGAGCGCTTTCCCAGCCCATGGACTCATCCCTTCTTTCTCCAGAACTTTGGGGGTTAAATCAGATCCGGGAAAGGGAAAATCTTTTCCCAGCAGCTCCGCCCCTGGTGACTCAGGCCAGAAGGAGGGGATCTAGAGGACAGGAGAGGGAACTAGCCGCTTCCCCAGCTCCTCAAAGGCCATGAGTCAGCAGAAGAAAGGGCTCAGCCAGCAAGTGGGGGCCCAGCCAGCAAGTGGGACCCCATCTGATCCCTCTCCTTTCTGTCCCCACTGAGAGGGCCTTTCCTCTGCGCCTCCTTGAAAGAGCCCAGCGATGGACCCCTGTCCCACTTGGCCCACAGATTTCGGGAAATGCCTCCCTCTCCCGCTCCATCCCAAAGGGAAGCCTCCCTCGACCCCTGGCTTCCTCCTATCAGGTCAGGAGCTGCTCCTCTAGAGGACTGCTCAGATTTGCCTGCCCTCAACTTCCTTCCTTCCTTGGCTCCTCCCCATTCCTTCTCCAGCAGATAAACCCATTCCCTGTCCCTGGGCTCCTGAAACCAACCCCCTGACACTCCCCAGTTCCAACAGCAAGCAAATTAGGGTTGCCCTCCCACCCTGGGTTCACCACATTCCCACAGCCTGCCTGGGTCTGGGGAGTTGCATCAGGTTTGGGGGCTTCTCTGGGTTCAAGGACACGCCTTAGGAATTAGGGACAATTCTGAGGACCCACAGTTCCTCCCCCAGCCAACTGGCTGCACGGGAAAAATTGTGGAGTCTAGACACTCACTTCCAGGCAGAAGGGAGGGGCAAGAGTCAGAATAGCACTCTCCGAGGCTAACCTCTGACCCCTACAGCACCAGGGCCCTCAGGTCCTCCACCAGCAGGCACCCCACTGCAGCCCCATCCTCAGCAATCCGGTGCAGAAACGGAGGTGAGCCCTGGAGGCCAAGCCCAACTTGAGGGCCTCTCTCATCTGGTGTTAAGGAAGGGCAGGAAGCAGGGGGTGTCTGTGGAGAGACAGCTGAGGGGGTGGCCCAGCACCTCACCAACTCCCCTGCAACTTCCGCCTGGGGAGGCATAAAGCTGAAGTGTGACTTCCTGTGTAGGGTCTGCAGAGTGGGACAGAGAAGCCGAGATGGACCCTGTGGTCTAACCCCAATCCAGCCACCTCCTTCAGAGACCCGCTTTGCTGTGCCCTTCCTCCGCAGTGCTGGGTTCATTAAATTAAAATGTGTTTGTTCCATTGCATCTCACAACCTTGGGGGAGCCTGAAACAGCCAGCCACTGCTCCAAGGGCCCTGCTGAAGTCCCCTCCTGCCCGAGAACCCCTCCACCAATGGCTCATGGCTCCCCGACCAGAGCTCATCGGACACTCAGCGTTGGTGTTGAATAACCTGACTGTGTCTACTTTGGGCTCTTATCATAATATAGTTATTTCAGATAAGTAGATACGATCTCTCTGACAGACCACAAGCCTTGTGAGATGCGATATCAGAGACAATATTGGTCAGACCCAGCCTTCTCCTCCTGCCTACCCAAAGCAAGGCCTGCAAAATGGGAAGGACACATAAAGATGAGTTTACCATCTGTCTTCCAGGTAACACCAGCCATGCCTTCAGGGGAGGTGAGAGACAGCAGCCTCCATAAGAATATGTTATGTTTATCCCCAAGGTTTCCAGCCATGCCCCTCCACACGCATGCAATGGAGCACATGCCTGCCTCTTTCTGTTAGGACAGGACAGCCTTTCCAACAGTACAGAGGCAGAGAAAGGTTGAGACCCCCTGCTCCAGCCGACTGGACTTGCACTTCTACCTGGCCAGTGCTCACTCTTCATATGCCCAAAATTGAATTCATTTGTCTCCTTGTGTAGACAAAGGTCACACCTCTAATTTTTGGCATCAGCACCAAGGCCTGTGCCATAGCTCGTAACCCCGTCCCTAGCCCTGTCGCCATGCTGTCAGCGCACCTTGCCAGTCCTTCTTCTGTGATCTCTTTGTCCTCTCCTTGTCCCTTGGTTGCCTCACACCTGGATTGTTTATTATTGCAACTGCCTTTCTCTCTCCTACCCCAACCCATTCGCCACACTTCCTTTTTTCTTTTTTTGAGGCAGTAACACCCTGTTCCAACGATGGTGCCCATGCTGGCTTTGAACTGCTGGGCTCAAGTGATTCTTTGGCCTCATCATCCCAGGTATTTGGGATTACAGGCGCCTCACCCAGCACCCTACATACTTTCTCATGGGCACGCATGTTGCAGCTCGCACACGGTCGTGTGTGAATCCTCCTTTCCACCCTCAGGCCTGACTGCAAACAGCATTTCCATGGGGTGTACCTTTTTTGAATATGTGTGCCGGAGAGTCCTTACTGCTTGCTATACAACACAGTCCAGGGACAGGGTGGGTTTGGGGAAGAAAGAAAGAAAGAGAGAGAGAGAGGGAGAGAGAGAGAGAAAGAAAGAAGGAAAGAAAAAAAGAAAGAAAGAAAGAAATGAGAGAGAGAGGAAGGGATGGAGGTTAATGGAAGAAAAAAAGGAACAGGAAAGGAAAAGACAGGGGAAAGGGAAAGGAAATGAATTCTTCCATGCAAATCCATACTCCAGATTCTCTTTCCACTCTTCCTCACTCACCCGTGTTCCCACCCTCAAGTCTTAGTGTTCTTCACAATGGTCACTCCACCTAAGGTGTTCAGCTCCTGTCCCCAGCACTCCTCAACAAAACCCATATTTCCATTCCTCTGCTTCTCCCCAAAGCAGTCTCCCAACTCCTCTGCCTCCTTCCTTTCTAGCCACCCCACCAGGCAGTGATTTCAGATATCAGCCCCAAACCCATTTTCTAGGAGATTCTCACTCCCTCACCTGTCAGACCAATCCCTTGTTCTTTTGTTTACTCAAATAGTTTAGGGTCACAGCCTCTCTGCCAGGCCAGACCCCAGCTGGGCCCTAAGGATGACCAAATGCTTAATATCTAGTTTATGCTTTGAAGAACTCTGGATGGGCCAGAAACATCCATTATAAGCCCTGGGCCTGTGCAGGGGTGCCCTGGCCACAGCAAAGGAAGACTCCTGGGGCTGAGATCCACGGAGCAAAAGAATGCCGGTCCCCTCCCCTGTTGGGCTCCCGTGCTGCAGGACACCACATTACAAACCACTGCAGTCTTTTCTCCAAGTGTTTCTGAAGTGTCTTTTCCCGGTAAGCTGTCTTGCATCATACAGAAACTCGGCTTGCTTTGCCACACTTGGTCCCATCTTCTTCATCCCCATGGCCCCCCAGCACCTCCCAACTGGCACCCCCTAGACACCCCACACTCACACTGTTGAATGGTGAGAAACTGTCAAGTCCTCTGCAGACCTCACCTGTCCCCTGTCCCCCTGGCTCCAGGCTGGCCCCTGCCATAGGATGATGGCCCCAGCTGGCCCCAGCAGCCCCCACCATGCACCTTCATTTACTCTGTTTCCCAGAGAATAAATACAACAAATACGCCTAATGACACCATAACAGCCACATGTTTGCTGCGTGTTTTCTCTCCCTACTTCATCCTGTTCCCCTCCTAGACCCTAAACCAGAGAACTGAGGTTTCTTTCACCACCGTAATCCCAACACCTGAAACAGAGTTTAGCAGAGAAGACATGAATTGAATTACTACTTCACATGTATCCAGCTATTTAATTAACTCACGCTAGGAGGCAGTGACCACTATGCCAATTTTAGTGATAAACTAAGGTATGAAGGGGTCACAGAACCTGTTCAATTCACGTAGCTGTGACATGAAGGAGTGAGGTGATCTACAACCACAGAGAGGAGAATTAAGAGGACCTGGCAGCTGGACCATGCGGGGGACAGAGAAGGAAGTCTTGGGAAAGTGAGAGGGCAAGCCTGGAGGGACAGGAGAAGACAGGACAGCAAGACTACTGTAGAGGCAGGTGCGGGGTGGGGGTGGGAGGCCCAGAAATGTAGGACTCAAGCAGAGGAAAGAGGCTGGATGGAAAGGGGCTCAAAAGGGGGGCTCGGGAAACAGATAGGAAAGGTGGGAGAGGACAGATGTAAGACACTGAGGAGGAGGCAGGTCAGGCAGCCATTGTTCCTGGCCCAGGAAAGGGCAACAACCCGGGAGAGGCTGCCCACACAGGTAGCAAGTCCACCTGACTAGCTAGGTGAGGAGCTCTGGGTGTGTGACTAGGATGACTCCAGGACATCGAGAAATGTCAAAACACACTAAAGCAAGCTGAAGCCAGAGAAAGGGACATTTTCCAATGACAAAAACAACTTGCTATCAACTTCCCCAAATTGAACTATGGAGTAAGAAGCCAAGTGATTGTTGTTTAGGTCTGTAGCAAGGGGACTGGAAGCCACCCCGGGACATTGACAAGACATAGTCAGTCCAACTGAGGCATCCTACATGGAAACCAGAGCTCAGGGTAGAAGAGCAAAGGAAGCTCTATGGCCAAGGCCCTCCCCACCTGGCTGCCCTGTCCTTGAGCTGTTTCCCGGTCCATTCCCAGCTACCCCATCACTTAGGCCCTCAAACCTACCCAACAAGCTTGTCCTGGACTTGGTTTCTTCATTTCACAAGTCGGACTCTCTAACAGAGTTTTCTGGGCAGATTCCACAGGTTTCCACAGCCCACATGCTTCTGGACCAGCCCCCAGACTGCAGGGACAGAACGGGGATGGTCTACACCCCCAGGACACTGGCCTCTCTTCTCAGGGTCCTCTGCTTCCCCAGGCCAGATCCCTACCCCTACTCCACACAGGCCTACTCACTGCCCCCAGGGTCCCACACAAGGTCTGACCAGGCCTGGACAAACTTCCTTGGCTGTCAGGAACCCGAGCTTTCACTTTCTCCGCTTCAACCCTCTCAGGACAGCCGCCTTCTCCCGGGCTGGGAGACCAGGAAAGCTGCCTGCCAGGGCCTGCGTTTAGGCCCAGCAGGCCCAGGTGTGGCAGCAGGAACAGGCCAAGATGGGAAAAGTCTGTCCTTCTTGGAAAGGACCCCCTCCTGCCAACCAGCTCCCACCCGGCCAGCCCATCTTCCTCTCCCCTCTCACCAGTGGCAGCAGCAGGCCAGACACAGTGGGGAGGCCCATATCCGGCCAGCGGGGGCCCCTCACTCCCCCATTGGGGCTCTTGGGACAGCTGTGGTGGCAGTAGTGTCCAAAGTTGCAGGAGTCTAACTAGAAGATCCAGGGAGCCATAGGGCCTCAGGCTGGAGCAAGGTGTAAGCTTCTAGACAGGGTGTGGAGGTCACGGCCCCATCCCAGGGTCCTTAAACCCCAGAGGCCAGAACCGGAGCCCAGGTCTGAAAACTCTGAGAAAACTCAGGCGAGAGGAGAGAGGGGGTGGGAGGGGAAGGGAGAGCTGCAGCGAGGGCGGTGTTGCAAAAGCTCAGACAGGAAGAGCTGAGGAGGAGGCTGGAGGAGGAGGAGGGAGGCGGAGGGGGAGGGGCAGAGGCCTTTAACACTTTGTGGCACTGTCCCGGGCTTCACCCCCAGAGTTCAGGGCCCTGCAACCCCAACCCACAAATCCCACCGCTGCCCCAAAACACCAGGGGGCAGGAGCCCCTTCCCCAGTCACCCCATCACTGGCCTTTCTCAGATGGGAAAGCAATGCTAAGAACTAGAGTTTTGGAGTCAAATTTACAGTGTTCTACTTGAAAATTCTCCACTTTTAGCTGAATGACCGTAAACACATAATCTTACCATTTGAGCCCATTTTCTAATTTGCAAAATGAAAATAACCTCTCTCATAAGGTTTCTGTAGCATTTACTCAGACAGGGCAGAGGAGTGGCTGTCACCCAGGATAAGAACTACACTCCGTGTCCCTTAGTGGTCCTCTCCTGTACCCAAGACTTCTCCACGATGTCTACCCAGCCATGCCCATCCTCATGAGGCCTAATCCTAGTTTTCTGCCCTGCCTGGGATCTTGACCTCAGCCTTTCCTTTGGGCCCTCATCCAATCTCTATCTGGCAGGTGCCCCTAGCTGGCATCCTGACACTACCACCAATTCTAGGACATCAGGCAACCTTGCTCCTGAGCCTCATATATTAAGTAGGAGAGCACATGTCTGTCTGCCTACATGGGGAAAGCGATGCCAGGAAGATCAGTGAGACTACATCTATGAAGACACTTTGGAAACTCAGATATCTTAGGGGCTGTCACCAAAATATCCAGCATCCAGGCTGGTCCGATGGCAGTGGGTTATCAGAACTTATTAACATTAGTGTCACTAAAGTTGATATACCCCCCTCCCACTGCTAAATTTGACTGGCTTTAAAAATAAAATAAAATAAAATAAAATAAAATAAAATAAAATAAAATAAAAATATCCAGCATCCCTTCCTCAAATTTCCAGTTGCATTCATGAGAACTGACCCTGGAGATAATTTACTACAACTCTCTGGCTTTGCAGAGACCCAAAGAGGCCCAGCGCATTGGGAGACAGAGCCACCACAGAACCCTCAATTCCTAGTTCCCAGTCCATTTATGTTTGTGTTATTCGTTTGTTTGGTTTGGTTTGGTTTGGTACTGGGGATCGAATTCAAGACCTTGCACTTGTGCCACTGAGCTATATGCCATCCCTATGAGAGATACCCAGCCACTTTTCTCTCTGTCCCTCAGAACTGGACCCCTGTTAGGGATGGGCACCTATGGCATCTCTGAGCACGTTTTCTCCCAAGTGAATTCTACAACACAGATATAATATTCACCAATGACTGGCCCTGTACCCAGCCCAAACTGAGGCTGCGAGGAAAGGAGGGAGATCAGTGAAGCAAGGTCCTGGGGCTTCATGACTTGGAATCAGAGCTCCTTGTCCCTTCTCTCTTTAATCCACAGCTGACCTGCAGCCCCAAGCCCACCTCTGGCTTTCTTGGCTTCCCCTCTGTGATCACACACACACACACACACACACACACACACAATGGTAGATCTGTAGGTCTAGATAGTGGGTAACCAGGTAACTGGGTCTGGGTGCCCTGCCCTGGGGCTGACTTCAGTCCAGCCCACCCAGCAGCTTCTGACAACCTGAGGGTATGGGAACTGGACTCAAAGAAGGCAGAGCTCACCACCAACCACAGGAAAGCCCTAGGTGGGGGAGGAGTGGACCTCAGGCAGAGCTCCAGAAGAAGCAGGATCATTAGAGCATAGTTCAGGGGTCAAACTAGCCAGTGGGTTCTAGGAGGAAGCTGGGAGAACCTCAGGCTCCTCATCTAAAAAAAATAAGAGGCCTGGGGTTGTAGCTCAGTGGCAGAGCTCTTACCTACCAAGCACCAGGCTTGACATCCATCCCCAGCACTGTAGATAGATAGCTGGATGGATAGATAGACAGATGATAGGTAGGTAGACGACAGACGAAACGGGAAATGTGCTAACATGCCAGTACCTTTTGCAGAACTAGTTTGATAATTAAATGCACATAAATTATTTAGTAAGTGCTTGGCATACATCAAGCATTCTACAAGCGCTAGCAATATTAGTCGTTCATACCAATAACAACTTCAATGTCCCATTTTGTGTTACAAGGATTTTAGAACAATCTGTGCAAGCTGCCAAAGCCATTAGTCACCACCCAAGACAAAATAATTTCTTTTCATGATTTAAGATTAAATGTTGATTTACTAAGTTTAAAGCTTCGACGCATGTAGTACTAATTTGTTCAACCGAATTTAAAAAATAAGTAGAAGAGAAAATGGTAAGACATGGTTAGATCTAGGGATATGGAAAGCTAGCTTCATGTTGGGAGTGTAACTCAGTAGTAGACACTTGCCAAGGACACACAAGAGTCTGGGTTCAATACCCAGTACCAAACAAGCCCAAACAGCTCGCTGGTTTCCCTGAGACCATAATCCCTCCGAGAGTAGAAAAAATGATGTTATGGTTAGATCTGAGAAGAGATGGAGAAACAGAAAAGGGCCAGATAGAAGACAGGATTGGCTGCTGGGAGCCAATGATGCAGAGTTTGAGAGCTGAGTATGGAGGCACAGGCCTGTAATTCCTGCTATAGAGGAGGCTGAGGCAGGAGGATTGAAAGTTCCAGGCCCATTTGGCCAACATAGTGAGACTGTCTCAAAATTAAAACTGAAAAGGGCTAGGGGCATAGCTCAGTGGTGCAGCCCCCCAGGTTTGATCCTCAGTACTAAAAAAAAAAAAAAAAAAAAAAAAAGCTTCTCATCAACAGAGCCTTATCCCTATTCACGACTCATACAAGCACGTGATTACCAGTAAACACACATAGGCACCATGAACCTGAAAGGGCATCAGACAGAGCCCAGGTGACGTGGGTTCTCTCCCAGCCTTGTCATCCAGGGCTCCACCCTTTCCAGGGAGGCAGGAGACCCAATTCCCAGCTGGTTCTGTCAGAAGCATGAACCTGAGCCAGCCACTCCACCCACCAACCTGATTAGGAAACTGAGACCGACCGAGTGAGCTCTGATCCACTTCCTAGGAGTAACCCAGACAGGGATGGGACCGGGTGAGTGCTCCAGGGGACGGCGCTTACAGGCAGCCCGGGAGACTCATCCCCGCTAAACCCCTCTCTGTGTACCTGGTCCTCCTCCCCTCCAGGGCAAAGGGCACAGGCACAGGGTGAGGCAGGGCTGAGGGCAACCACACCTGAGGACTCTGATGGAGGAGGTGGTTAGGACAGCACCATCTCCCCTCAGCGGCATGAACCAAAGAAACGGAGGTCAACGTCATCACATGGGTCCAGGACCCCGATGTCCCCTTGCTGGCTCCTTCTCCTTTTCCCCAGATCCCATTTCCCCCCTGGCACTTCAGGACAAAGGAGAGTTATCATGAGAATAAGGCAAAGCAGCAGAGGAAGCATCTCGAAGGCAGAATGCCTAGCTTGCTCCTAGATGGGCTGAGGGCCTGGGGCTCGGAAAGGCAGGCTTCCATCATCCGTCCCTCCCTGCACCTGTTTCTCCTCTGAGAGCCAGAGGATGCTCTCTGTGGTGCCAAGGGAGCAAGACTGAAGGCTCGGAGGCTTCTGAAGAGCCTGGCCTGAGTCTCATCTACCCAAGTTGACAGGCAAGAGGGCGGGCAAGCAGTGCATGGTGCTCGTCAAATGAGCTGGGGAGGAAAGGGAGCTGGGATGCTGGGGAGGGCAGAGTAGCCCCATCACTCTGAAGCAAGTTCCCGGAGGGGGGAGATGTGGTCCCTGCTTCCAGCCCATCAAGCAGATGAGCACAGAGCAGGTGCTTCACCTATGGATGGATGGGTGGATGGATGGATGGATGGATGGCCCCAGACTATCTCCTATGGCTCCTGGAAAATGGTCTCTGTGGTGAGCCAAGGGGACCAGGAGTGTGACCCTTCCCTGACCCTAAGACTTCCTGGAAGTGTGAGCAGTGACTCCAGGACTTCAATGCACTCCATACCCACTTCTGAGGCACCACCCAGCTCTCTGTGACACAGCTTTACCCAACATTTATTGAGCGCCTGCCTACCTGCTCCAAGCAGGATGCTAGGTTAGACCTGGAAAACATGTAAGTGAACAAGTCTTGAGCAGATAAAAATGAACAGAAAGTGTAACATTACATCAGTGCTCCATCATAGTGTATTATGGGCGTAAGGCAAGAGGGGTTGATTGATTCTGCAGAAAACAGGGTTCATAGAAGTAATGGTGTCTGAGCAGGGTTCTGAGGGATGCATAGGAGCTCTCCAGAAGACTGTAGGGGAAACTTCCAGGCTGAAGAAATCACTTGAGCAGACATGCAGAGGGGCTCAGAGCAGAGGCACTGGGATATGATTCTGTGAGGGCCTGGAACATGAGACCAGAGGAGCCTGGGAATGACTGGGAGTGGCCAAATCTTTACTTAACAGGTCTATTCCAGCCGCAGCCCTGAGGAGTCAGGGAAGGGGAATTGCCCAAGAACTAGAAAGGGGGCTTTTGGGCGGGGTTCCCCACCCAAGTTCAAGAACAGGAGCAGACGTGTCTGTGTCCCTGTACAGCAGTGTGGCCAGGCCAATTTGAGGCTGGCTCAAGGTCGCTGAAGAGGGGACCTGGCTCTGTGTGCACCTTGTTTGTGTTTTGTTCTGGTTGCCACCGTTTCCTAGGAAAGTTCCTTGCCAGGGCTCCAAGTCTGGCTCGGCTGATCCATAAAGAGACTTGTCTGTGCTCACAGGAGAGCCCGGGGCAGGACCAGGCGCTTTGGGGCAGCTCCACTGCCCTCACACAGCCACCTTGCCCACGCACCACAGGCACATGGGCCACTCAGGAGGTCCCAGACGTCTCTGCAGGAGCCTCAGTGCCAACTCTCAGGGCTCCCTTGGGGCACAGGCAGCCGAGCTGGCCCCTGCCAAGCCCTGCAGAGGTGGGCAGGCACTGAGAGTAGCATAGGCAGGCGGAGGGGCTGTCAAGGTTGGGAAGGCAGAGTGGGCACAGAATCTCGAAGGGAGGGAGGGTGGCGGCGTGCAGGCCACCTCCCTGGCAGCCCTGGCCCCTCGTCCTGGAGACCAGTACCGGCTTCGAAACCGCCGCAGCAGCATGAGAAGCGTGATGACCAGGAGGTCAAACATGAACTCCGCCATCTCCACCACAGACAGCACAGAGGAGCCAAACCACAGGCTCCACTGACTGCCCAGGTTGGACAAGAGGGTGACCATCTGCAAGGGAGAGCAGGGGGCGCTGATGAAGCCAAGCCAGCACCCTAGATGACCCCCTCAGACTCCTGGTGTCCCCAACGCCAGCTCTCTGCCTTGGCATCCCGGAGAGAGCTGGCAGCTAGGCTGGTGGAAGCTAGAGCAGATCTGAGCTCCTCCACCACCTGGCACACAGGTGGCTCCCCTGCACCCCAAGACCTCATATGCTAGCCTTGGCCCCCTCCTTCCAACCCTCTCTGCTCATGCTCAGCCACACCTTCCTCTTCCATGGAGGTGGAGACCTTCTGACCCCACGTAGGGTCAGAGTCCCTGATTTCCTGGCCAACCACCCCAGAGACCCCAGGACCGTCATGGCTCAAGGCAGGCCCCTACCGTGACTGAGGGAGACTCAGAATTGGTTCTGTAGTTCAGCTCCTTGAAGTAGATGTTTAGTTTGGCTACTCCATTTCTTGGGGGTGGGGGACAGGACAGAAGAAAGCGTCAACTTCTTGGACCCTCTTCTAATTGGTGGAGTCAGTTCCTCTGCCCAGATCTGTCCTCCCTCCCCACGCTTCCTGTCAAGACTAAAATGAGGCAGGACCGACCTTTTGTTGCTGATGGTATAATTGTTCTGGAGGGACAGCATCTGGAAGATCCAGTCCTGGGAAAGGACGGGATGGCCATGAGATCACAATGTTACATGTGTGTGTGCGCACGTGCCTCCCATTCCTCTCTTCCCCACTATACCTGGGATGCTGCTGAAGGCCAGCGTGAGTAACCAGCAGATAACTTGTAGATGGTCACACTGAGGATGAAGAAATGCACTTAATTTGGTTTCGGTTTTCATTTTGGTTTTTGAGACAGAGTCCTGCTATGTAGCCCAGACTGCCCTCAAACTTGTGATCCTCCTGCCTCGCCCTCCCCACTGATGAGATTACACATAGACCCCATGCCTGGCTAAGGATGTGCTTAGTGATGAATTGGGGCTCTCCCACCCAAAAGCTTCGCTGCACATCTTGTGTTCTCCCACAGTCCACTGTCCACCCTGGACCTGGGAGCAGGGAACACTCACTTGCATGGCTTCCGGCACTTGTTGAAGCAGCCCAGGCTGTCGGAGGAGAAGGCCCCCTGGAGTTTATAGTAGCAGTAGCCTGTGGGTACACAGAGGTGTTCTGAGGGTACCTCAGCCTGCTCCACCCCACACCCAAGAGGCCTCCCACTTTCCGAGAGCATCAGGTAGACTTATCCTGAAGCATCCTGGGTAGAAGCAACAAAAATGTTAATATATTAAGCAAAGTTAGGAAAAACACATAGGCTACCACCACATAAAACGTGCTGTGTGGACAAAAATTAAACCTCCGCAGAAAAATGGGAACAACTATTGTGCAAGAATAATGGGTTAAGCCACAATTGAAAACCAGTTTACACCCATTAAGATTTTTAAAAAAGGCAGTACGAGCACTAGGGAGACTGAGACAGGAAGATTGTAAGTCTGAGGCCAGCCTGGGCTACAAAGTAAGCTCCAGGTAGCCTGAACTGCACAGTGAGACCCTGTCTCAAGAAAAGAAAAGAGAGAAAGAACGAAAAAGAAAGAGAGAAGACAAAAACAAGCATAGCAAACTAGCAAAGGTGTAAAGGAACTGGAAACCGTATTTACTGCTGCTGGGGATGGAAAGTGGCATGGCTGCCTTGGGAAACAATCTGGCAGCTCTTCAGGAAGGTTACCATAATTACCATATGTCTCAGTAATTCCTCCCCAAGAGAACAGAAACAGAGATCCACACAAAACGTGTGTCCAGCAGCGTTATTCACAAAGCCAAAAAATAAAAGCAACCCAATGTCAAACAGCGGATGAGTAAACAAAATACTACACCGTATTATCCACACGCTGGAATACTACTCAGCCATAAGAAAGGAATGAAGTACCGCTACCTCCTACAACACACATGAACCCGGGAAATACACTAAGCGAAAGAACCAGTCCACTTGCTGTAAGACCTCATCTATATAAAATATTTTTTGGAGAGATCAATAGAGTCAGAAAGATCAGGGGTTGCCCACGGACTGGCAGTGAGGAATGGAAATCTTGGGCTCCACTAATGGGTACAATGTTCCCTTGGTGGTGGTGATGAAAAATATTCTAAAATTGGTTGTGGTGATGGCTGAACAGTCCTGGGAAAAAAACTTAAAGCAAAAATCATAATCCTAGGGGCTGGGAATTTAGCTCAGCGGCATAAGCGCCTGCCTTGCAAGCAGGCGGTCGTGAGTTCGATCCCCAGTACCGATAAAAATGAAAAAGACAAAAAAAAAAAAAAGAAAGAAAAAGAGGAAGAGGAAGAGAAGGGAACTGTGAGTTTCCCTACATTGGAATTTGCCAAATTCTAAATAAGATTGTTTCATCATCATTGCTATTTTTAGTCATTGGGTCCAAAGACCTTCACATCTCACCTAAATTCCTCCACCTACCAGAGCTGGGGATCTGACCTTAGAGTGGGAAGGATGCTGGGGAGTACGTGAGCCATTTCCCGGGGTGCCAAGCTCTAGGGGATGTGCTGGACCCTGTTCAGGGTTCACTTCACTCTGCCATGCTCACAACCCCTCGGCAACTGATACTGCTATTGTTCACCCCAGATCATCAAGCTCCCAACTTAGAAATAATTACTGGGGGCAGGGAGGAGTAGAGGGGAGCCACCCACCTCCACTGCTCTGCATATGCGGGATGTGTGATGCCTCATGCCTTTCCTCTAGACCTCAGTTTACCCCTCTGAGAAAGGAGCCAAGAAGTCAAATGGCCTCTCAAATTTCCTCCAATTCTTTTTCTTTTCTTTTTCTTTTTCTTCTTCTTCTTCTTCTCCTTCTTCTTCTTCTTATTATTATTATTATCACTGTTACTATGATTCTTTTTCAGTTCTGGGGATTGAACCCCGACCTCATGCTTGCTAGGCAAGTTTTCTATCATGAGCTGCATCTCCAACATTAATTTTGAGGCAGGGTCTTGCCAAATTGCCCATCCTAGCCTTGAGCTCACAATCCTCCTGCCTCAGCTCCTAAGGAGCTGGAAAGACAGATATGGCCACCATGTCCAGCTCCCCTCCAGTTCTGATGTGCTCTGACCCTCTCTAAGATAGGAGACAGAAACCAGGAGGCCACCACTAGGAAGGATAGGCAGAAGAAAAGGACCAAGTCGAGCCAGCCCAGACAAGAAACAAACAGGGCAGTCACACAGGCAGGAGGAGGGGTGGACACCAAATTGAGGGGGGACACAACTCCCATGAGGGCAGTCTGCCACCTTGTCCCCTCCGGCAAAGGGTCTTGGGCTGTGCCCAGTGCAACCCTGGAGTGCAAACCCAGGAATGCAAGTCCTAGAGGTGTCCACTATTTCTGGCTGGGAGCATCGTGTCTCAGCTTCCTAGCGTGAAGCTCCCCTGTGGAACAGCTCAGCATCAGAGCAAAGGAAGGAGATTTGTCTGCTCCTGTGCCAGGGTAAGGAGGTATGCCAACCCTCCCTAAACTCATTCACTGTGCTCTCCTCCAGGTTAAAAACACTGTACAGTAAGCAAGTCTGCTATGTGTACCTGGTTTCCAAATGACACACCTGTCTGTGCCCACTGATGGGTGCAGTGTGTACCTTCTAAAACAGACACTGTGAAGGCCCTACAGGACACATCCAACTCCACCCAGGGCCCCAGGACTCTGTCCGGTACCCCCAGGAGGTCCAGCAGCGAAGCGAGGCTCACAGGACACAAAGGAACCTCAGCTGGCAGTGCAGAAGGGGCCCTTCCTCTTGCTGCAGGTGAAGGGGGTAAGTCTACCACAAATCTGCACAAACCAGGTGAGAAGGAGACCGGCAGGGGGAGCCGGGTAGAGGAGGGAGGTGGAAGGTGAGAGGGAAGCCGGTAGTGACCAAGGGCATGAGAGCAAGAGAGGGAGAAGCGGGCAGGGCAGGTGGGAGCCACAGCATCCCACAGGCAGGCTGCCCGGGGACAGGGCTCTGGGGAGAGGGTGTCTAGGTGCGGCCACTCTCACCCCAGGCGCTGTGGTTCGTGTAGTCGCAGAACTCGACGCCCTTGGGCTTCGGGTAGAAGATGTAGGCGCAGCCGCACTGTTTAATCATGTTCTCCTGGAAGCAGGAGTGGATGCAAACCTGGGAGGGGCCAGAGGAAAGGTGTGAGGCCTGGCCCCGCCCGCCCCTCGCTGCGCCTTGCTGCACCTGTGCCCCCCTTCCCGGCGGCCCCCCAGCCTCTCCCCTCCCGCGTGGGCCACCAGCACAGCCTTGGGCACCAATGGCCGCGGGAACAGGGTGGCCTCACCTGCTGCGTGTACTTGGAAGGGTACAGGTTCTGGACAGGGACGTCGCTGCCGTCCTGGGTGCAGTCTCCATAACTGCCCCCAAGTCTGTCCAGGGCTTCCTGTGAGCCGCACATACAGAGGTCAGAGGTCAGAGCAAGCAGCCTGACTCCAGCCTGGCTTTTCCATCTTCTTCTCTCAGTCCCGAGTTGTATTTCACCCGCACCTGCTATCTGCCTTCCAGCCAAGTCTTCTGCCATCGGGTCTCTGCTCACCTGACCCATCTCCCCGCCCATCCCACCCCACGACCGGTTGGCGTCCTTGCCTTCCGCATGCTGATGGAGGTCTCCACACCAGGCCGCAAGTTGAAACCACCATCATCCATAAAGGCCGGCTCATCCTGCCCATGCACTGTTACCCTGGCCCCCGTCACCGTGGACAGCAGGGGGATGTAGTCATTCTGCTCCGTGCGCAGCGTCAGGGACAGACCTGGGGGCACGGTGGGAGCAGAGTTGAGGTGGGGGTGGGGGCTCTGAAGAAGAGGAGAGGATGGAAACTCACATACTGCCTGGTCACTGAGCTCCATGGGGAGCAAGGCCAGGAAGACTTGGACTCTGGGGAGGAAGGATAGAGACAGAATTTCCCTTGTGCCTGGAACAGACCATGCAGTGCCCTCGGAAAGAACAGAGAAGTCCTTTTCCAGGTCAGTGAGACCCAGAAGGTATGCAGCAGCTCCAGGATATGAGCCCAAGGTGAGTACAGGGTGGTGGGAAGGGCAGGGGCAGAGGCCAGGCATCCCAGTGCAGGACTTCTCACCATTGTTGATCCCAGGCATGGAAGCCATCCAGAGGCTGGAGTCATTCTTGTTGTTGAAAGTGTAGCAGTTGCCATAAATTGGGTGGTGGAAGTGAGAGTAATTCCTTAGCAGGAGAGAGAGAGAGAGAGACAGCAGAGTCATAAAAGAAAGGACAGGTGGTCAGGGAAGCAGAAAGGTGAGACAGAGGAAACCACTCCTTTCAACTCTGGGAGTTATTTGCTCTTAATCACCTGCAGACACAGTGGGAGCTTTACCCATGATCCCTCTGTCACAGCCCGGGGAAGCCTCACCCTCCCAACACACAAGAGGAAACTCAGGCTCCAGCCAGCCTGAAGTCACAAGGGCCTGGGATTCAGATCCAGGTCCTCTGCCTGCCAGCCTAGGCTCTTCCCACCAGGCCATCTATGCTGCCTGATGAGCAGTCTTGTGTTGCTGTGATACCTTATGAAGACTCTTGCAGTGGCCCCTAACTTTTCAAATCTTAGTTCCTCATTAGTTCTTTAGCTTGGATTGCAAGCTCCTTGAGGACAGTTGCCACATCTCATTCATCCCTGTATCTTCTTGGGGTTAGTTACATAGTTCCTTCCTATGGGAGATAGTCAATAAATGATGGATGGACGGATGGATGGATGGATGGATGGATGGATGGATGGATGGATAGATGGATAAATGGATGGGTAGAGGAAAGGAGGGGAGAAGTTAGAAAAGAGAGTGAATCCATGGTGAGCATGTTACTGAGACGAGGAAGTTCAGTGCGAGGCCAGGAGGAGGCCAAGTGTTTTCCTGGTGCCTCGATATTCATCAGCATGTATCAGATTGCTATGGCCGGGCCCCATGTGACAAGTGTGGGACTCAAGAGAAAGTAACCACAGAGGCAGTGCTGCTACAACACAACTTAACAGCAGATCACAGGTTCCAAAGCCCGCAGGCTGTGTGGGGCTGCAGCAAGAGCCCACATGGGAAGAGCTGGACCCGTGCCTGCCACCCTGCTGCCATCTTGAAGCTGCCTATGGAAGCAGGGGAAGACAGAGATGGGGAATTTACCTGTGAGAGGCAGAGGAAGAGTGAAGAGAAGTCAGAGGGAGAAAGAAGGCAGGCCAGAGAGCGGAAGTGGGGCTGGTAGTATGGCCTTGAACAAATCATTATTTCTAAACTGCTTTTGTACAGCTGCAAAATGAGGTTGATCTGGAATACTCCACTGGCCTTAGTAACCAAAGGCAGAGGTGTGAAATCCTGGGGCACATTTTAGCATTTGCATTTAGGGTGGAGGCAGAGAGGGCCTGAAGCTACAGAAGTGGCCAATCTTAAAGAGCCCCTGAACCCACTGACTGGGAGAGGGGCCGGCGTGGCACAGTGGCTGCACGCCACGCAGCAGGTGGGTCAGCAGACCCCGTGCAGCAACATGGATCCATGCAAAACATGCAGACTTTAGTGGTTTTTTTTTAAAGAGAAGCAATGAGATTGCGAGATAACACAATCTCACATACATAAACCAAATATAAATTTTACAAAAACATATACGAAGAAATACATATCAAGGACATGAATAGACAGTGGCCTGTAAGAAGCTGTATAGTAGGATTGTTAAGAGCACAGACTCCAGAACAGAACTTATTGCATTTGAATCCTAGCTCTAGCGAGTACCAGACATGGAAACATTTAAATAAGTGACTTCCTCTCTTGGTACCTCAGTTGTCTCATCTGTTAAATGAGGATAATAAAAGTATCTACCTGACAGGGGTGCTAAGGATCAAATTACACTCAGTGCATCATTAGCCTTTAGTGAAAGCTATATGATAAGAGAATTTGGAGCCCTCAGACCAAGCTGCGGGGAATATTGGTGCAGCCATTCGGCAAACGCTAGCAGTTTCCCAAAATGTTAAATGTACTTAAGGTAGGACCCAGCAGTTCCACTGCTAGGTGTGTACTAGGACAAATGAAAACATAAATCCAAGCAAAAACCTGTACGGGAACATTCACCCCAGCTTTATTCATGACAATCAAAAACTGGGAGTAAGTTGAGCATGATAGCCCACACTTGTAGTCCCAGCACTTGGGAGGCTGAGGCAGGAGGCCTGCCACCGGTTCAAGGCCAATTTGGGCTACGTAGTGAGTTCGAAGCCAGCCTGGACTAAATAGCAAGACCGTATCTCAAAAAAAACACACTCTCCCCCCCGCAAAAAAGTGGGAACAGAGCTGGGAGTGGGGTGGGGCTCAGTGGTAGAGCACTTGCCTAGCACACAGGAGATCTGGGTTCCATGTCTAATACCAAAAAGTGGGAACAACTCAACTGAAGAGCTCATGAACAAAAATATGGTATAGTTATACAATATAGCGCTATTTAGCATAAAGAGAAATGAAGTTCTGATACATACCACAGGATGAATGAACCATGAAAACATCCTGGTCAGTCACCAAAGACCTGTATTGTGTAAGTCCCTTTACATGAAATGTCACAATAGGGAATCCAGAGAGACAGGAAACAGCGTGGTAGTTCCCAAGGCTTGGAGAAAGGGCAGCAATGGAAAACTGCTAAAGGAGACCAGATTCTTTTTGGAGTGAGGAAAATGGTATAAAATTAGTAGTGTTGGTTGCACAACTCTAGAGATACTGAAAATCGTTAAGTTGTACACACTAAAAGGGAGACTTCTGTGGCCTGGGAGCTGTATTTCAGTAAAGGGTTATTAAAGGAGAGACAGGGCTGGAGATGGAGCTTAGTGGCAGAGCGCCTGTCTACCATGCCTGAGCTCCATACCCAGACATAAACACACACACATACTCAGCAGGGGGTGGAAAGGGTTTGCAGAGGGCTGAGATCATACTAATGAGATTCAACTTAATTCTGAATGCCCTGGGGAGACTTTAAAAATTTTTAGGCATGACTAACTGGAATAAAGCACAATAAAGTTAGAATAGTGAATACAAAGCTTCCTGTACTGTGGCTCAGATGTGTGTCCCAATTCATGAAGCTGAATCCCCCATTGAGGGGGGTACTTAACAGGAGGTGACTGAGTCTCCAAATTGGCTCAGTACGTCACAGGGGAAGTGTTAGTTATTGTGGAAAAGGCTGTTCTACATCTGAGCCTCTTTCCTGCTTTCTCTTTCAAATGCACAAATGCAGGTTGGCAGCCCTCCCCATTTCCCACAAGTGTTGGGTTAAGAGGCCTCATCCATGCCAACACCATTCTCTCAGGCATCCCAGATTCCAAGACTATGAGACATAAGTTTCTTTTCTTTATAAATTACTCATCCTGCAATGCCCAGTTATAGGGACTAAGATACTTGCTGAGGCCACAGGACAAAGGAGGACTTAAAGGCGGAAAGAGCATGGCAGGATGCTGCAATACCCAAGAGAGAAAGGAATAAATGACATAAGTGCCAGGGCCAAGGCGGACTATGGACTTGCTGCTGATGGAAGACAGCTGCACCAGCAGGCAAAGGGAGAGAACTATAGGCAGACCTTGACCGTTGGGGAGGCTTGGTGCAGCTTGACTCAGCCTGATCTGCCCTGCTTCCCAGCTGCCAGCTTCTATCCTCAAACAAACACATCAACCAGAGATGAAAGCAGAGTGTGTGTGCACCAGGGAGTGGTGGGGGGGTCAAGAAGGTGACACTTGGCCCTGCTACCATTCTCCAGTTATGAGTATCTCTCTGACCACCTTCATCAATTGAGTAAAAGACCCTAAAGGCAAGGATTGTATTTTTCCTCCTCTGATGTATCCCAGGCACCTAGAACAATGTCATAGCTCAGACAGTCAAAAATATCTGTCGAATGAATATTGTGTGAATCTCTTTTTTGTGCTTTTTTTTTGTCCTTTTCGTTTTTATCGGTACCGGGGATCGAACTCACAACTGCCTGCTTGCAAGGCAGGCGCTTATGCCGCTGAGCTAAACCTCCAGCCCCTTGTGCTTTGTTTTCAAAGAGAAAGGCTCTGGAGAATGATATCCAATGCTCCGAATCACACGGCCAAGAGAGTGACCAACTACCTCAGCACAGGCCTGCCTCCCAGGCCTGCAAAAGCTTCTGAGTCAGGGCGGAAGAAGCCTCAGAAAGGCCAAGCACTGCACTCCTGGCCCTGCTTTCTCAAAGCTCGACCTCAAATCCCAGTCTTCCCAGAGCAAGCAGAAGGGGCCGCTGTACTCAGTGCAGAGAGCTGAAAAAGTTGCAGGTGATCTTGGGGGCAGACTCACTCCTGGGTGCACGGGGCCTGGTTGAAGCGGCAGGCGAAGATGAAGTTGCCCAGGGCTTCCTCCTCCAGCGAGGGTGAGGTGTCAGCCACCTGGGCCAGGATGTTGATGTAGTGGAAGCGGTACCACTCGCGCACTCCGTCCACCCCTGACGAGGAGGTCTGGTAGAAGCAGTCCGATTTGTTCTGGTTACACTGGACACAGAGCCTTGAGGTCAGCAGGTGTGCAGCAGGGCGGGGCCAAGGTCACAGAAGAGGGGTCAGGAGCTCAGAGTGATGGGAGGGTAAGAGGAGGAATAGAACAGGAGGGGAGAGGAGCAGAATCACCCAGGAGAGTGGATCAGGAGAGCAAGGTACTGAGTGAGGGAGCAGTGGGGCCAGACATCACAGGACTTCAGTCGATTTATACAGCCCTCCATGGGGGAACTCATCCCATTTCCCCAGGGGAAACAGGGAAGCTGAGGGGTTTGTAAGCAACAGAGCAGAATTCTGGAGGTGCAGCTCACTGTCACTACAGAGGTCTCCCTACCCCGTCCCATTTCCTCCTATTTATCCTTTTATTATTTTTTTAAATTTTTTAACTTTTGATTTTTGAGACAGGGTCTTACTATGTAGCCCAGTCTTACTATCGAGCCACAGTGATCCTCCTGCCTGAGTCTCCCAACTGCCGGGATGACATGTGTGTGCCACAGGCCCAGTTCTATCTCGTATTTTAAAAATACCTTTGAATCTCCCATTTCACTGCCCTCTTGCCTGTGTTTTAAACGGCAGGGCCACACATCATGATACTGGAGAGTCGGTCCCCAGAGGGTCACAGCAGTGGGGACTGGCAATTCAGAAAGGTACATATTCCAAAATGCCCAACACAGGCCCTGCTGCCGCAGATAGATTTGATTGTATTTATTTATTTTATTTGCGCGCAAATCATGGGCCCGCCCCCACCGCCACTCTGCGGATTTGGGTCGGAAAGGGGCGGTCCGATGGGCGGGCCCGGTGGGCGGGGAGAAAGGGGCGGGGCCTTACCAGCTGGAAGCCGACCCGCCAGTCTCTCCGGTCCACGCGGGGGTTGTTGTCGCGCACGCTGGAGGGGTCGCTGCTGCGCGCTCTGCGGGGCTCGGGCTGCACCGGGATGCGCTGCAGCGGGTACGGCAGGGTGTCTGCGAGGCTGCGCCGGCTGCGAGCCCCGGCCAGGAGGGTGCTGGAGGCGTTGTAATTGTACAGGTCGAAGAGCGTCTGCTGTGTGATGCGGTCCAGCTCCCTCAGCTGCTCTTTAATTTCCTTGTACCTGAAAGGTGTTGCGGGAGAGGCGCATGGGCCACGCGCGCGAAGCCCTGGCGCCTCTGGGCCTCAGTTTCCCCACCCGTAACGGGACGAGGCTGGCTGAGCCTCGCGAAGCCTGCGGGGGCGCTGCCCTGGCGGGGTGGGGGGCGGAGGGGCGGCCTGTGGCGGAGCGAGGCGGGCGGCCTGTGGGTGGCGCTGTCCTGGCTCCTGCTGCCTCCCGGGAACCGGGACTCGCGGCCCCGCCAGTCGCGGGCTGTCCTGCCCTGACCCTCGGGAGGCTGGCCTTTGGGCCACTGTCTGCCACCTGTAACCTTTTCAATCAAGGGTTCTCAGCTGCACTTTAAGAACCTTTCCAAGGAATTCTGAAAATACCGGTTGCCGCAGCTACCGCCCTCCTCCCGCAAAGACCCAGTTTTAATGAGTTTCGGGCAGGGCCAGACACTATAAACACTGTTCTGTAGATCCTCACATTCCTTCTTCTCAGGCCTGGCCCTGTTACCGTCCCCATGATGAAAGTTCACATCGCTGGACTTTACGGTTACAGTCTACCAAAACAAACATCTGGACCTAATAAACAAGATAGCAGCATACAAAACCAATATACAAAATTTAATGTGCAAACTAATAACGAAAAAGTAAATTAAATCACAAAGTAACCCTTGTTATGTAGCATAACATCCAGTACCTAGGAATAAATCTAGTAAGAGATGTGCAAAACCTCTGCACATCTGAAATCCCTGCTGAAGAAATGAAAAAATAAAAAAAAATAAGGGAAGATGTTTGTGGGTCAGAAATGCAAAATAATTAAGATACTTCCCAAATTGGTCTTTAGAGTCAACAATCCAGGCCTAATTTCCAGCAGACATGTTTAAAGAAATTGACAAGCTGATTCTAAGGTGTATATGGAAATGGAAAGAACCTACAATGGTCAAAAAAGTTTTGGAGAAAAAAAGCAAAAGCAGGTGTCACAGCAGGTACCTGTGATCCCAGTCCTGGAAGGATATGAAGGTGGAACCCAGGCTGGGCAACTTAGTAACTTGAGCATAAAAAAATTTTTTTCTAATTTAAAAAATTAAAGAGGGATGGAGAAGAGGCTCACTGTGAAGGTATTGGGTTCAGTACCATCCCACATTTTAAAAAAAAAGGAGCTGGAGATTTAGCTCAGAGGCATAAGAGCCGGCCTTGCAAGCGGGAAGTCATGAGTTCAATCCCCAGTACCAATAAAAAAAAAAAAGAAAGAAAGAAAAAAGAAAAAAGTGGTTACAAACCTGTAATCCTGGCTATTCAGGCAGCTGAGGCAAAAGAATCTGAGGCAAGAGGATCGTAAGTTTATAGCCAGTTTAGACAACTGAGCAAGATCCTATCTCAAAATAAAGTAACAAAAGGAGCTTGGTATATAACTCAGGACTCCCTGGTTTCAATATCCAGTTCCACAGGGGAGAGAGAGAGAGAGAGAGAGAGAGAAACAGAGAGACAGAGAGAAAATGAGAACTTAAACTACTTGACCTTAATATTTGCTCTAAAACCATAGTAACCAAAACAGTGTGGTTCTTGGAAAAGATAAACAATGAATCAGGGAGCAGGAGTCCAGAAATAAGCTTACACACATAATGGGCAACTAATTTTTTTTTTGATAGAGAGACAGGGTCTCTTTGTGTAGTTAGGCTAGCCTTAAACTCACTATGTAGCCCAAGCTGGTCTCAAACTCACAGTAGTGTAAGCGGCTGCCTAGCAAGCTCAAGGTTATGAGTTTGATCCCCACTACCACCAAAAACAAACAAACAAACAAACAAACAAAAACCAATGGATACAGTATAGGAAAAATGACCCTCAACCTCCACTTTAGGCACCAAAATTAATTCAAGATTTACTATAACACTAAATATAAGTTTCAGAACCATAAAAATCTTTAGAAAATGAAAATGAAATATGTCTTCATCACTGGGATAAACAAAATTTTCTTGTAAGAAAAATATCTAATGAAGACTCCAACTTCTCTATGAAGTAGATGCTCTTATGAACAGATTTACATTTTTATGAAATCTCTCCAATCCTCATACATTGCTGGTGAGAAAAAGTACACAACTGTTGAGATAAGGATCTGGAAGTTTTTCAAAAGAAAAATCATAATCCTTGTAATCCACCATTTCCACTCCTAAGAGAAATAAGAACATATGCCTGCCTACACAGAAAAATTGTGCAGAGATGTTCACAGTCATGCTCACAATCTCCAAAAAGTAGGAAAAACCCAAATGTCCCTCAGTTGATGTGAGCATAAATAAAGCATAGTCCATCTGTGCAATAGAATAGTATTAGGTGAAGAAGAATTAAGTACTAATACATGCTACAGCACGGGAGTAATTTTGAGTCATTACATTCACAGAAGTGAATGAGAGAAGCCACTCACAGAAGATAACACATATGGTATGATTAAATTTATGTAACAGGTCCAGAATAGACACCTCTTACAGAGACTGAAAGCACATTATTGGCTGCCCAAAATGGGATGATCTGGGTGGGGAAAAAGGGGAGCACTACTACAGCATACGGGGCTTCTTTTTGGGGTGATGAAAATGTTCTAAAATTGATTGTGATCGTAACTGCACAATCCTTGAATACAATAAAATTATTGAATTGTACATGTTAAGTGAGTAAATTGTATGGTATATAAATTATATTCAATAAATCTATTATTAAAAGAAAAGAAAAGGAACTAAGGAAGAACTCATCCTGATACATAAAGAACCCTTACAATAAAGACAATAAAATTAATAGCCATTAACTACATGAAAAAGTATTCAACAGAATTAATCCTGAAGGAAATACAAATTAAACCCAGTGTGGTGCCATTTTAACATCTTAAAACTAAAAACAGTGACTCCATGTGTTAGTGAAAACGTGGAGGACTTACGATTCTCCTGAGCTGCTGATGGGAGAGTAAAATGGTACAATCTCTTTGAAAAACTGACAGCTTCTTATAAAATTAAACATATATTTCCCTTAGGACTCCCCCATGGAATCCTACTTATTACTCAAGTGAAATAAAAATCTAAAAACTGGTCCATAGATGAGGATAGCAGTTTTAGTCTTAATAGCCAAAAAACTTGAAACAACCCAAATGTTCACTAGAACCACTCAGCAATAATAAAAAAAACTACTGTATGCAAAAACATGCATAAATTTCAAAGACATTAAAGTAAGCAAAATAAAACAGACATACCAGAAATACCTATCATGTGATTGCACTTATATGAAATCAAGGAACAGACCAAGCTAACTGGTGGTAACTTAAACTAGCTCAAGGTGGTTTAAGACCCTTACATGGTCCTAACATGCAGATCAGGTCTTCCCGTCCTCACCCATCTGGTCTGCCCCCCTCTCCACCCTAAATATCCAGCTGGCTGGGCCCTAGTCACTTGAGAGTAAAAAAAGGCTGGGCTTGAACTCACAACCTTCCCCTCATAGGAGAAAAGGTAGAGATCTGCGTTTGGTCTTCAGAGAGAGGTAATAATAACTAGTATTTCTTGAGCACCCACTAGGAGCCAGGTATGGTGCAATTAGAATGTGCATTGCTTAATCTAATCTTCAGTATAGCTCAGTATACTGTTAGCTAGTACCACTGTCACCCCTTTCTCAGGTGGAAAACCTGAGGTGTGGGCCCTTGCTCCAGATAGCACAATGAGGAGACAGATAGGACGGTGCTCCAGCCGTCACACTGTCCTTTGTCCTGTCCCAAAAAGTCCACTAGAGCCAGAGCTGCCAGACACGGGTCCTGGTGTCCCAGCTGCACATTCTAGCCATGTAAGGCTGAGTAAGGCCCCCGAGCCTTCTGAATCCCAGCCTCAATTCCTCATCCGTGAACTGGGTACAGCGCTAGTTCAGTGAAAAAATATTCCAGGTCACAAAGTAAGAAGACCAGGAAGACATGGACAGGAGCCCAAGGGCCCTGAAAAGTGGGGTGTCTGTCTCCAGGTTACACAGGAAGCATCTGGGTGTCCCAGCTTGGCTGAAATGATTTCCATGGCACAAGCCACAACCTCTCTGCAGAGCCCACCTCTCTGTGCTCCTCCACTACCCCGTATGTCTCCCTCTCGCCCGTCACCAGCGCCAGGCTGTCGCTCCTCCAGCCATCCTGCTCTCCGGGTTGAACCCTCTGGTGTCCCTCGGTGCTCCTGCCCCTTCAGGGAGGATTATATGAGCACACACCCGGCACAACCTGTCCCCTAGCCATGACTTGTCTCCTAGGTCACTTCTTCCCCCTTCAACATAAACTCTTCCCTTCCCTAAATCCCTGACACTAGGAATTCCTCCAACAGGAGGCAGCGCCTGCGAGCTGGCCCTGGAATGAAGAAATCGATCCCTGAGCAAAATACACTAAAGACTCAGCTCTTGTCCTGAGGAGGAAGGGGCTACAAAGAAGGGGTGAAGGAGGCCTGCAATGGGCTCACCTGTAACCCCAACACTTTGGCAGACTGAGGCAGTTTGAGCCCAACCTGGAAAGTAGCAAATTAGTGAGACCATGTCTCAGTAGAAAAGGACTGGGGACATCTCTGAGTGTGAAGGCCCTGATTCAACCCAGAGGGAAGAGTCTCTGCCACAGGGCTTCAGCAAGACCACCTGGCCCTCGTGGCCTCGACTTCCTCCCAGGCCGTGACCACTGCTCTCATCCCATTCGACCTGGCATGCTGCCTGCTTTGGGGCCTAAGCAAATTCTTAAACCACTCTTCGAGGCAGGCGTTACTCTCTCCATCCCATAACCCAGGAAACTGAGGGTTATCCACTAAGCACCTTCCCAGGATCACTCAGCAAGGAAGTGCCTACCTGACCCAAGACCTGAACTCACGCTAATCAGACTGCAGTTTCCACTGCTGCCTTCGGCTTCAAGGCACTGAAGATCAGACTGTGGCACCTGGTACCCTTGCTTGCCACCTCTCCTCCAGCCCTACTTCCCTATAAAGGGCAGGCAGGCTGGCAGGGCGCAGGGCCCTGGGAGGTCTGGGAGCTGACACTCCTGCTCTCTCCCATCTGTCTCCCCCTTCTCCCCCTCCTCTTATCCCTCGGGGACTTCCCCTCACCAAAAGCCCATGCTCGTGCTGTCACTTTGGGAATTTGCTAGGCTCCCATCCTCCCCACTCAGAGACCCCTTGGGGGTGCGTTCTCATTGGCAGGGCAGCGTACCAGGCAGAGCTGGGCACAGGAAACACACCAGCCTCCTCCCTGCCCAGAAGCCCCCTTTTCTCTCTAGGCTCTCTCCCCCAGCCACATTCTTCCCCACCCCTCAGCCCTTCCAGTCTTGTTTCAGGGGGCTCTGAGCCCCAGTGGAGCCCCCAACCCACACGGACCCTCTGAGCCCAGGCTGCATCATAAGCATTCACAGCAAGTGCCCTGTAAGTGGCCCTCATGCCTGAGTCCCATGAGGACAGAGCTCACCCTTTGAGTGAGTTCTGAGCCCTCAGGCTATACATGGAGTTCAGCCCTGCCACAATTTTTCTTCTTTCTCATTACTGGGGATTCTTGTACCCAGGGCCACCACACTGAGCTACATCCCCAGCTCTTTTAAAAATTTTTTATTTTGAGACAGAGTTGCACTCAGTTGCCCAAGCTGGGGTCCAGCTTATAATCCTCCTGCCTCAGTCTCGCAGAGTGCTAGGATTAAAGGTGTGCTGCTACATCCAGCTGTGGCCACATTTTAAGACCAAAAGATGTTTATAAGCAAACAACTGTTTAGAGGATGGACAGCTGGGGTAGTGAGATGTTTACAAGTCATTCATTCGAGGAAAAGTTACAGGAATCAAGTTCTCATTATCTTTCTAGGCTTGTAACTGAACCTTACTATTAATGAGTTGGTCAGCTTCCAACAAGCTACTTATCTTCTTTGTGCCTCTCTTTCACCATCTGTGAAATGGGAGAAATAATACTACTGGTGGCCTTGTGTTGTCCCGAGGATTCCATGAGTTACTATGTATGAGAAGCCTGAGCAAAATACCTGACCGAGCAGGTCCCATGCACCTGCCACTGCTGTGTTGAGTGTCACTGTTACTGTTGTTACTCTCCTCAGAGAAGAACAAGCTAAGGGCTCACGGTAACACTCCCTGTCACCTGTCTACCACGTGACCTTGTGGTTTTAACAGAAAATGGACCTGAAGACCCGGACTTGAGTTCTGACTCCACTCACCAGCTGGGTGACCTCTGCAAAGCCCTCCAGCTCTCTCCTCTGGCTATGGGATGCTGGCCCTCGCTACCTAAGAAGTCCATGTAGTGATCAGGACTCAAGATGGGGCTTTGCAAACCTTGGAGTAGTGGTGCCGTTATAACTGCACCTGAACTCAGCCACTGGGCAAGGAAAGAGGCGACATCTCCAGGTGGCTTCAAAGAGACAGAACCAGGGCCAGAAGGTAGCAGTTGTAGGGAGTAAACTAAAGCTCCACCACCGAGATCAGATGTCAGGTCACAGACAGGGTCCGGGCTCTAAGCCAGGCCTGGGGTCCAGACCATGTGGGACACCAGGTGCCGCGGCTTCTCTGTGGGAAGCTGCCTCTCTCCTTGCCCTCTCTTCCGCCAGTCCCACTCTGCCGTCTCACAATAGAGGAGTCCCTGACCGATGCTGCCTACGAGTTCCAAGGTCTTCCTCCAGGACAGTCTGAATTCCTCCCAGTGCCTGGATGAAAATGACGTCTGCAGATTCCATTTTCTAAGGACAGTCTGGCCGTCCTGCTTTCTGGGTCAAGACAAGAAAGAACAGCCTTGCACTGGATGCCCCTTCCCCCTGGATTCTTCACACTTCTGTGCTCGGTCAGACAGCTTAGCAGTCTTTGTTCCCTTTTCCTGGAGACAACAAAGTCATAGGAGCTCTGCAGACAGGACAGTCTCCCCACCACCAGCCCGGACAGTGCTGGGGTGAGCCCGGGCCTCTGCACTGGGCTACATCTCCAGCCCTTTTCAGTTTTTATTTTGAGACTAGGTCTCAGACTAGGTCTTATTAAATAAGTAGGTTGCCAGGTTGGGTTCAACCTTGTAATCCTCCTGCCTCAGCCTTCCAGAGTACGTGCAGGACCACAGGCCTTTTTCTTTCCCTCTACTGGCTGTGTCTCTCAGCAGGTTGACACCCAGGGTGGGACTCTGCCCTGTTCCACTTCCCGTATAGACTGATCCCTACATCTTCTTGTTCTTCCCTGGGAAGAGCCGCTTAGCTTCCCTGCCTCTGCCCAGCCACAGTGACTCACAGCCAGGGCGGCATGGCTGTCTACCCACTGGCCTCTCCCATTGCCCTGAAGCTGTGCCTGGGTCCTGGCGCCTGCACCCAGCCATCCCGTGGCATCACCAGAGGTCCCTGGAAGCCTCTGCGGCTTCCTCTGAGAATGTGAGGGGAGGAGGACTCTGATGCCACACATGCTTGCTCCATGCCTGGCTGCTAGTCTGGGGTACACTGGCTCTTGGTTAGAGAGACACAGATTTAAGATCAGGCACAGCACTGGAGATGGAACCCGCAGAGCATTGGGGTACATCCTCAGCCCTTTCTGAACTTGGGTGATTTTATTCAACTCTCTGGGCCTCAGTTTTCTCATCTGTAAAATGGGAGTGCTAATGTACTACCTCCAAGATCTGCTGTGAGGATTAAATAATTTAACAATATTTAATTCTAATTTAGATTTGTTTGGAAACACTGTACATGTGTGTCACCTGTTGTTGCTTCATTATTAGCTGGATGACCTTGCTCAGTTTTACCTTGTAGAGATTGTGTGCTCAGCTGAAAAATGGAAATGTACAAAATGCCCAGGTCCCTAGACTTGCCAGGGTTAAATGAGGTTGTGTTCATAAATTACCCAGCATGGGGTTGAGCACAGAGTAGATGGACAGTCTCCCTCCCCATGTTTGGGGACCTTCTCGGGCTCTCTCCTTTCCCAGCATCCTCTCTTCTTAAGTCCTGCAGCAGTGGACACCTCCTTCAACCCAGGGTTCTTGGGCACTATGGTTTCTATCCCTGGGGGTTTTAGCTTTGCCTTTCCAGGGCCCTGCACCCAGCAGAACCACAGAAAATATGCAGATTCACCCCTACCCTCTCCATATCTCAATATCTTTATAGCCAAAAGTATTTATTGAGCGCTGCTATCCTGCCCACAGCCCTCCCCTAACCGGTCCGCCCCTTCCTGCTGTGTCCCCACTGTTCAGCCACCCTCCAGCTCAGCTGAAGGAGATGGGGGAGGACCCTACAGCAAAAGGAGGCTGGGGGAAGGAGCATCATGGAGACAGCCCTCTAACGAGCAGCGAAACACATCTCATTGGGAAGTCATGTAGCCCCAGGCCCACATCTTGGGTATTAAAAAGAGAACAAGGTTTTGGATCAGGCAAATGGGATAAGTCATGGTTCAGTCACTGTCCCTGTGACCTGGTGACTTGTTTCTCTCTGCCTCAGTTTCTTCATGTGTGATATCGGGATATCATTAGCTCTCACCTTGAAAGATTTTGTGAAAGTCACCGAGATGGCTGTAAAATCCTTGTAGTGTTTGGTGCCAACAGCAGCTTCCTTAATAAGTCGCCCTGCCCTCCCTTTCCAGGACTCCCCAACCCTTCTTAGTCCATGACACATCAGGAGGCCTCCGCCCCAGCACATGACCCATCCCAATCATCCATGATCGCACGCATTCCCCCTGTGTACCCACTCACACTCACACTCAGACAACACTCATTAAAGGCCTGACACCCATTTTTATTATTCTTATCACTGTGCGCTGCTATTACGTGTTTATATGCCTTCCTCCTGACTCTAGCCTCCTGTTCCCAACACCTAGAAGAGTACCTGGCCTTCAATAAAGGTTGTTGAATTATTAATAAATCCATTTTAGCCGGTGCCTAGCACTGTGTCTGGTGAAGCCAAGTGTCCCCAAGGTGTGGCAGCCGACTGAGTGAATACAAATAAAAAGTATGTACAAACACCCAGCCCCGCCTCCTCTCCTCTCCAAGGTTACCACCCCCCCTGCCTCTCAACCTCAAACTGGCAAAGAGCACTATTGAAACCCAAAACTGTGGGACACACCCAAACCTTTAAAGGTCAGGTACCTCGGCAGGCGAACAGAGCAGCCCAGTGGACAGCACCTTCACCAGGCAGCCTAGGTCTTTGGGGGCACAGTAGCCCCATTCTCCTTTAGGCTCTGTAACCCCAACACCAAGGCTGGCTTTGCAGTTCTGACCTCTGGCACCTGCCATGTTGATTTCTGCACAAAGCGCAACCTCACCCTCTTCCTCCTCAGCACCTACACAGCCTCACCTCACTTCACCTGGCTTCACTTCTAACTTCTCCATCCGACTTGTGTGCGTGTGCCTGGGATTAAACCCAGGGCCTTGGTGTGCAAGGCTCACGCCCTCCCACAGAGCCTCTGTTCAGAGCTATCCTCTTGCTCCAGGCGGCAAGCCCTGTCCATTTGGAAGTAGTGAGTATGTCAACCTCTCCAGGGCTCCCTCCCACTTGCAGGAGGAGGGAGAGGGAGAGGAAAAGGGACAGGATGGGGAGGTCACTGCTGGCCCAACCCCACTCTCTGGGTCAGTCGACACTCAAGACAAGATGGCTCCAATGAACAGAGATGCCAGGGTTCTCTATCATGCCCAAAGGAATAGCCCAGGGTCTGCAGGAGTGTGGCATGATCGCGGATCTGCCTGGCAAAGAGTGAGCACCTCAGTCCCCTCTGGCCACCCTCTGTGAGTGGTGCAAACAGACTGACCTGTAGGGATTGAGGGTGCAGACAGTAACCGCAGGGAAGACCAGCTTGTCGGAGTTGAGGTTGATGTTGAGGCTGACGGGGTAGCTGAAGTACTCTCCGAACAACAGGGCGAACTGCCAGTACATCATGCCGAATGTGCAGAGCCAGAGCACGGCCCAGAAAGCCGTCTTCATGCGGTTGTGCTTGGAGCACACGAGGCGGATGGCGCCATGGATGGTGGTGTTGTTGCAGAAGAACTGGAAGAGCTCGCGGTAGGAGCGGTGGAACTCTATCAGGGCCTCCTCCTCCTCCGTGTGCTGCTGGGGGGCGGTGGGCTCAGGTCCCAGCCCTGGCTGCTCACACTTGTCCCCCTTCAGGGGCCCTTGGAGGGGCTGGGGAGGGAGAGGGCCTTGTGCCTTGAGCTCATCACCCTTCATTGAGCCCTAAGGTGGGTTGGAGAGGTGAAGGTCAGAGTCAAGGTCAAGGCTGAGCATGGGGCTCTGAAAGGCCTCCCCTTTCACCGCCTTGAACCAGAGGGCAGCTACCCCTGTCAATACCCACATCTACCCTGAGCTTGTCCCCCCCACTCTACCCCAACCCCGCCCTGTTCACCTCTCCAGGAGCCAGCTGACCTGCCGGAGTCGGGCCAGTGGGCTGGCGCTGGGCTTCCCTGGAGTGGCCTCTCTCCTCCCCAGATAACGCCACCTTTGGCTTTCCACACTGGCACCTCCCTGGTGTCTCCACGGCAGGCTCCCTGCCCGGTTCTCAGACTCCCTCAGGCCCTCTTCCTGCACGGCTCTGCTTGGCTCCTGCCTCTCCCCACCTCTCTGTTGTCTTCTGCTCCTCTCCGGGCACCTCTCTTCTTCCTTGCCTGCCCCCTCTCCCTGTGCCAGCTCCTCTGATCCTGCCTCTCTTCCTCTTCCTCCCGTGCCTTCCCTCTCAGCTGGACCCTCTTGTCCCTAGCCCAGCCTCCTCCCTGCCTGCCTCCCTCACTGCCCCACAGAATGCAGGGCTTCAGGAGGTCAGAGCTGCCTCCAGCTCCCCACTCCCAGGCGTGGCTGGGCTGGGACTGGTTCCTTTCCAGTTGAGTCTGGCAGCCAAGCCTCTCCTCCCCCTCACCTGACAGGTGCAGCAGCAACCCAGGGGCCGCCCGTCGGTGAGGGATGGCAGCGGCAGAAGTCTCATTAGCATCTCAATTAAAGGTGAGCAGGGCAGGGGGAGGGGCAGAGGAGGAATCCCGGCTGGGAGCTCTCCACAGGAAGAGGTCTCTTGGGGACAGTGAGTCTGGGTGAGTGGAGACCAAAAGTCTGAGCCCAGGATTGAAGGGGAGGGTCAGAGATCTTGAACAGGTAGGACTCCAAACAACAACAGAGAAGGCAGAAAAGGGGAGAAGGATGGAGGACAGGGTGGAGGGCTAGTAGAGGGGGGTGGATGGAAGAGGCCATGGGGTAAAGAGACAGAAAAGAGCAAGAGGGTACAGAAGAAGGAGCCACCCTGACCCCTGGGAGTCTGCCCTGAGGCAGAAGAGCGAGAGATAGTGGGCTTCCAGGAGCTAGGCACCCTCTGCTGGGGTCCCTCTTGGGATCCCCAGGCCTATCTTGCCCCAGGTCTTTGCAGCAGTGAGAACACCTCGCAGCCCCATCTGCCTTTTCTTCCTCTCTGTCCTCCTCTCTCCAGACTCCTCACTCCCCAGCCTCATCCAGGCCAAGGAGGGGCCCCGGGGTAGCTGGGGGCTGGGCCCAGCTCTGGGACATTCTGTTCTGTTTTACACCATTGGCTGCTAGGCCAAGAATGTGTAATGTCCCCTATTGTGGTCACGGGGTTGCAGGAATGTGGGCACGGGAGGTAGCATCGGGCCGGACAGGGCACTGTGGGCACAGATAGGGAGCCTAAAGAAAGGCAGAGTCAGGGTCACTGAGAGGGCTGAGAGAGACACGTTAGCACCAGTGTCTGGGAGGACGAAGCGGGCATGAACCCAGGCTACAGGACCCTGGAAAGAAAGAAAGGCTAATTGTGGGGGCTTGGGTTCCCCTAAAAACTCTGTCCAGACTTGGTTCAGGAGAGATCAGAGATGGAGCCACCAAGCAGTGAGCAGGTGGAGAGGGAAGGGTCAAAGAACTGGGTTCAAGAGGTGGCCACAAGGGGACACCACAGATCTTGTCACACGGCCCAGGCCTTGTGTGCCCATGACAGGTCTGCTCCCCTTGGCCCTGTGGGAGGCAGCCAAAGCTGGGAACATGGCCCCGGCTCTTCCTGCCTCCCTCCCCACTCTGCTGTTGACGTCGGCCTCTCCCACCTACAGACACAAGCCTAGCTGGGGCCAACAGCCAAGCCTACAGGAAGAGGGGGCCAGGTCATGGAAGATAAGGACTCGAGGCAAGTCCTGTGGGAGCCCCAGAGAGAGACTTGCTTCCCATGAAGTTCCATAAATGGCGACATCTCAGCTGGATGGAGAAAAACAAGTTTCCTCAGCAGAGAAAAGGATGGAGAGTCCTCCAGACTCAGTGTAGCCTGCTCTTGTGGCTTCGTACTGTGAGCTCGTGTCCAAAACTGGTTCAGCTGTTTACCTTGATAGCTGCTCATGAAACCTGCCTCAGAGGGAAAGGCTGGCTTGCTCTTTGTTTTCCAGGTGACACACATGGCTATTCACAAGCATAAGCCAGTTCTCTGACATCCGTCAACAAAATGACAGCAATGTTATAAACACAACTAGGAATCCTGCTCCTCTGGGGTTGTGGGCTGTCTCAGTCACTTTCCTTGCTGCTGGGACAAAACCACTGACAACTACACTGTGAAGCGGGAGAGGTTTATTTTAGTTCATGTTCCAGAAGTTTCAGTCCTTGCATGGTCCGAGGTGTGGTGGAAGGGCCTGGGCAGAGGAGAGTTCCTCAGGTCATAGTGGCCAGGAAGCAGAGAGAAGGGAGGAGCCCAGGAGATGCCCAGGCCGCACCCCAAGGATCCACTTCTTCCAACCAAGTCCCACCTCTTAGGAGCTGAGCCCGTGTAATCCAGTCACCTTCCACGTGGCCCTCTCCTACCTACAGACATAAGCCCTGAGCATGTAAGCCTTTGAGGGGACATCCAGCCAGAAACCACTTCTTCTGCTTAGCATGTTTGCCATCCACTCTGGGAGCCAGACCACACAGACTTGAGGCCATCGGACCTTCCCTACACCTAAACTTGAAGGCCTGCAGGGGTTCACTCTCGCCACATAGCACCCAGGGATGGGATCCAGAAGCTCTCTGGGTATTAGACTGTATCCATGGTTCTGAGAAAAATGCTATGGTTCCCAGACATCCCTAGATAAGCCAGGTCCTTAAACTAATGTCCTATAGACAGGTGGCCTGGCTCCCTGACTGTTCTGCAAAGCTCCTCCCTGCCTTTTCTATTTGCTCACTGGTGCCTAGAAGCCAACCATAGGCTAAGGCAACGTGACAAATAGTTTCATCTCAAGGGCTCAGCACTTGGAGGCTTGGTTGGCGGTGTGGGGTGGCCGGAGCAGGAAGGGCCAGGATAAGAGCGACTCAGAACTCACAGCAGTGTAAATCTAGAATAGTCTGGAGCAAGCTTGTGGTGAGCAAAACAGAAAGCTGAGAACAGAACTTTCATCAGAGATGTGTTTTAAATGTTACTTTGCAAAGTACAGAAATAAAGCACAAATATACTTTTGCAGCTTCCTAGCAATAAAGAAGTTCATAGAACAATCAAAGCTTCCCTTTGTCCTTCTCTTTTTCCTCCTCTCAACCCAAGGGGACACACGATAATTTGTACATTGACCTGGAACCTTCTGAGTGCCTTCGGAGACTTGTTGGACCATGTGATAGGTATTACTTTATGATTTCTATTTTTGCTATCGGGCTGTATGACTTTGGAAAAGGCATCGTTCTTCTGGGTTCCAGCATTCTTATCTGAAAAATGATGGGCAGGAGGGGGTAAAGCATCTGGTCAGTCACAAGGATGCTGTCAGCTGAGCAGCCCTGAGCCCCTTGCTCAGTGCATGAGGGAACTGAGGCCCTGAAAAGCAAAATCTCCTGCCTGCAATCACCCAGCTTGGAGACAGTTACACTGAGAATTTATCCTCCTCTTTTCAGTTCTGCTGTCCTAGATTCAGAGGAAGGGGATCAGGAACTTAGCAGATCATACCTAGGAAGGACCGTCTGCTCAGGGTCCCCCAGCCTCTCCCAGAGTCCCAGCTCTTTTCCAACCCAAGGTTTGCTTCCCCATTCCAGTGTGGTAATCAAGTGCAAAGGCTGCTGGGAGAGAACTGCAGCCAGAGCACTTCAGGGGGATGCCGGGAAGGAGCTGGAAGGTCTTCTTGATGGAAGGTGTTGCTGCCTCCTCCACCCTGTGGGGCAGAACCTACCCTAGTTCTCGCTGCTGTTTCCTAGTCTCATATATGCTTACGTGCAATGCACATATCCTTATGGGCGTGGAAGTCACATCAGGAGTTCACTGAGGACAGGGACCCAGTTTTTTCATCTTGGTGGCCACAGGATCTAGAGGCCTAGAGGTCATTTCTGTTAACCAACTCACTCTGCAGAAAGAATTAGCACCCTGGGTAAGACTCAGGATTTCTCTTTAATGGGAATGTACACTGAGAAAGCATTCTCTAAACCGTCCTAACTTCCTCTGATAACCCATTCGTTTGTGGTCTATTAATCTAACTTTTCTTCACTTTTTTCTCTTCAGCTTCTAACCTTCCGAGGGTGAAAATGAGTTATTCAATGAAATGCAACTCTAGTCTTACAGTGAGAGCTAATTAGCTGCTCCATGCGGAGTTGTGCACAGCTGTCTTCTCATTTTCACTTATGGAAAATAAATCTAGAACAATGGACAGAATATACCTCCTGCTACCCTTAGTCTAGTGACCTAGAGGCATGCTTGGCGGCTCTGCTAGAGGTTCATCCCTTTGATTAAGACAGGGATTCTCAACCTCAGCACTGCTGATCTTTCTGCCAGGTCATTCTTTGTTGACGGAACTGCCCTATGTGCTATGGGCTGTTTAGCAGCATCCTGAGCCTCTACCGACTAGCAAACAGTATCTTTTTTCCCCAAAAGTAAGACCTAGCTGGAAAAGAATCAGCCTTGAAAACTGGAGGTCAAACGTGCATGCCACGATCAGCCTCTTCTTGCCTTACCTGCCATTACTATTCTCTTGCTTGCTGCCTACCAAGCAGTGGCACCCAAAAATGTCTCAAGATATTGCCAAATGCCTTCTGGGAGACAACTGGGAAGGTATTGTCCTCACTGAAAATAAGGTCAACTCTCATTGGTTACATTCATTTCTCGGGGTTTCCCAGACCCTTCCCAAGGGTCCCAATGACTAAGAGCAGTGTGAGGAGAGAAGAGAAAGAAATGCTATTTAAAAGGGATCTATTCACCCCAGTCTCCTTTTTGGATTCTCCAAGAGCCTGCAGGAAGAAGAACCTTTCAGCATCACCTCCAAAGGAGGCCAGGGAGAGGAACAAGCCCCTTCTCACACATGCTACCAGCCCAGGCCACTGTGCACACTGGATGTCAGGCTGTCTTCAGGGAAGATAGTAAAGAATGGAAAAGGAGAAAGACCATGACTGCTCACAAGGAGTTTCTGGATCTCTCACCCTTGTGGGGCTTCATGCCTCAAGGGAAAGGCATTATGATAACCATTCCCTTCTGTTAAGGTCAAGATAGGAAACAAGAAATGAAAGAGATTTAACAAAGGGGCTGGGTATATGGGTCAGTGGTAGAGTATCTAGCATAGGCAAAGGTCTGGGGTCAATGCCCCGGGGAGAGAGAGAAAGGAGAGACACAGACACAGACACACAGATAGAGAAAGAGAATCAATGGGAGGGGAAGGGAGAGGTGGGGAGAGAGGTAGGAGAGAAAAGACAGAAGACAGAAGGAAAGCCGGGGGTGGGGGGAAGGAAATAGAGGGCACGGTTATGTAGGTGATAGAAGAGCTGAGAAGCCAAGAGGAGTTATTGAAGCAACTCAAAATAGCAAAGCAAGAAGCAGCTACCATCTCCAAGACCGAAAAAGACAGCAGGGTAATACAGCATTGCAGACCGAGAAATCTGCAGAAGTATTAAACAGGAACTAAGCCATGGCAACTGCCCAGTAGGAGATGGCATTGCAGGAGTCTAGCAAGAAACACGACCAACTTCAGGTGAAGCCACAGAGCACATTGGGAGAGAAGCCAACTTCTTCCCTTCCCCACCCGCTGGTCGTCTATCAGCGCCTCCTATTGGCTGACCCCACTCTCAAACCAGAGAGAAAGGAGCCTGGGAAATGTAGTTCCCAGAAGAGACAACGCATTGCAGGGAAAGGGTGGAGAACAGATCTGCAAGAAAACAAGCCGTGGGCTGTGCAAGTAAAGAGCGCCAGAGTTAAAGTGACAGAATCAGGATCGAAACCAAGAGCTAAGGCTCTTTGCTTAGGGTCTAGAGTCCTTGGGAGATGAAGTGAAAGCAAGGACTAACAGAAGAAAGAAGGATCTGGTTCAGCCAGTAGGGCCACAGAGGAGCTGAGATGGTACTTACATGAGCCTGGGAAGGGAGTGCAGCAACCTTTCACAGGGCCAGAATGTTCTGGAAGGATGCACAAGATATACAAAAGTGATCTGGAAGGCTGAAGCAGGAGGAAAGGCGAGTTTGAGCCCAACCTGGGCAAAAAGCACCTTAATCTCAAAATTTAAATAAAATTGAAAAAGCTCAACAGGAAGACAGTGGATTCAATCTCCAGTAAGCAAATAAATAAATAATGAACAAAAGTGAAATTTTAGTAACCGGTATATGTAAGGTTCATGTATTTTATGCACTTTGTTGTATACATGTTTTACCCCAATTAAAAGAAAAAGAATCTGTCTTATAAAGCAAACCCTGAAATATTTTCAAGTGAGGTGATACGATGTTTGGGATTTGCTTCAAAATAACAAGGGGACTCAAAGTGCATAGAAAGGAGTTGCATGGAAGAAGGCTGCCTACAACTTGGAGCAAATGGTGATATCACTTTATGTTATGAAATTCCAATTCTAAAATTTAAAGAGGAAGGAGAGAAAAAAGATCTATGTACAGCATCCTTTTTGCATTTAAGAGCTCTGAGTGAGTCTAACTCCCGCCTCAAGCTCTAGATTGGGAAGAATGACAACCCTGAGCAATACAGCTGGTTGGACATTTCTTCCCTCCCAGGCAGCCCTGGATATCTGCATGTGTAGCTGCCAGCAGGATGTGGGTATTCAGCCTGCAACAGGTGAAGGGAAAGCACCTTCCAGAGTGAACCATCCAATGCTCAGTCAAGCCCTTCCATCTTCAACTCCATTTCTTCACAGACATGCTTCGCACCAGAGCTTCCCAGCTCCTCCACCAGGAGCCTGTCCAGCTGTCAGACCACCCAGAGTAAGGATGAGTGCTGAACAGAAGCCTTGCAGGTGGAGCAGTGCCCAGGTGACCTATTTCAAGGGAAGGAGTCAGTCTCATCCCAAAAGAGACACTCCTGAATCACAAGGAAGCAGTCTGGTTGCTGGGATGAGCCGGGCCCTGGCTGGTTTTGCCATGGACCAGCTAAGGAATAGGAGCATCATTCATTTATTCCATAAATACATGCTGGGCACATGATATGAGCCTGTCTTTCCCAAGCTCCAAGATGGACTCGAAGACTGGATCCGAGATCCAGTCCATGCCACTGGGAAATCCACAGCCTGCTGGGGAACAGGTAATAGGCAGCAAGTTACAAACACCAGCTCCCTGGGTTACCTGAGTGAACCCTCCAGGACAGGTCAGGATTGGCCAGGCACACTGCAGCTTGGAGACCAGCCACGAGCAGATGTAGGGAGAATGACAAGTAGCTGTATGGGGCTGTTTATGGGCTTCGGGGAGATAGTGAGAGGTAAGGGGAGGTACCAGACCGAGCAACCTTACAACCCTGGGGTGCTGTACCTGGCAAATGAGCCTGCCTTCTCCTGAAGGGGAGGGGACTGTACTGGGTAGATCAGCTTCCTCTGGCTCATTCAAAGGCTCATAGGAGAGAAAACTGGAACTAGGCGGCTCAGCCCCGACACAGCTGGCCCCAATCATCAGAAACTGGTCGGCACATCCTCCCCACTCTGCTCTTGAGAGGGAGGTCCCCAGGGATAGGGGCACATGGCCAGCTGCACTCTCAAGTGTTGTGTGGCATGCCCACCCATGTGTGGATTGGGCCGGGTCAGCCAAGTGGAGGCCCAGCTGGCTGGTGGTTTTTTTCCCTGGGTAGCTTGTCTTAAAAAGCCACAGAGAAGGGCGTCTGCCAAGCGGGATATCTGCCTGTTGGCTGTGGGTTTCCACTCTGCACACGGTTAATCCCTGGTGCCTCCCATTTTTCTGACCTGGCACCTGGCTGCCCATAGCTTTGTCTCTAAGTCCACCAGTTCCAGCCAGCCTTGCCCAGGCCAGGCTCCTGGAGGCCAGCCTCAGGGCGTCCTAGATCTTGCCGCCCTTTCCCACCAGATGGGCCTATCACTGCAGCCCTCCTCTCTGGCTCAGCTTCCCACCAACGGAGGCGGCCAGTTCCGGGCCTGCTGTCCTCACGTGCTTTCCCGGCCACCCCCTCCCGCCCTGCGAGGCCGCCAAGCCTGTTCCTCTTCCTCCATGCGATTGCGACAGACTGGCCTCCGCTCCCAGCGCTCCCTGTCCCCGCCCAGCGGCCGGCTCGCTCCACTCCCACTTCCTGAGCCCGGCGCTGGAGCCCTGGAGGCCAGGCCCGGCCGCTCCGGCCCCCGGGGGGCACGTCAGCCCAGCAGCTGGGCTCGGGAAGTCGCCGCCATCGCTGCTTAGGACATCGGGGCTTCCCACCCTCCTCCCAGATCTCCACCCATCTGCTCACCCTGCCGGCCCAAAGGGCGGCCATGCGCCCGCCTCGGGCTGCCTCTCCCTCCGGCCTGGCCTGGGGGCCACTCCTGCTGGGCCTCTACTATGGGCTCCTGGCTGCATCCCATCCCCAGCCGGTGAGGGGTGGGAAGGCTGTCAGGGGCAGGCGAGGACGGTGGGGTGGGGGCTCTGGCCTGGCAGTCCTCTCTGCACCCTGGTGCCCTCCCGAGGTGACCCCTGACTTGTTCTTCCTCACCTCCTCCCCTGGAAGGCCCCCCCATACCACTCTGAGAACCACATGTGCTCGGACCAGGAAAAGGAGTACTACGAGCCCAAGCATCAGGTCTGCTGCTCCCGGTGTCCCCCAGGTGAGAGGCAATGACTTGGGAAGCCCAGAATGTGAGGTGGGTCAGCGGGGAGGCGGGCCCTGCACCCAGGAAAACTCACTGGCAGAGGGTGAGCAGGAAGCACTGGCTGTGGGCACTTCAGTCACTGAGATTTACCCTGGTCACTGGGCCTCCCAGAGAGGCAGGAAGACAGCAAGCTAGGGGACAGGGAAGGGACAAAGGCCTTGAGCATGGTTCAGCTCCCACGGCAAGTGGCAGTGGTGGGACCCTTTCTCTCCATTCTAATACCTGCTGTCCCCCTGCACCTAGGCACATTCGTCACAGCTGAATGCAACCGCAGCCAGAACACGGTTTGTACTACATGTGCTGAAAATTCCTACAATGAGCACTGGAACCACCTGCCCATCTGCCAGCTATGCCGGCCTTGTGACTCAGGTGAGTGGGGTGCCAGGTCGGGCTGCCTGGAGCACAGCCCCTTTCTGAGCTCTATCTCCCCATTAGTGCTGGGCTTCCAGGAGGTTGCACCTTGCACCAGCACTCGCAAGACGGAGTGCCGCTGCCAGCCAGGAATGTTCTGCATCCACCGCGACCCGGAGTGTGTGCACTGTGAGCCGCTCTCAGAGTGTCCCCCTGGCACTGAAGTCGAGCTTAAAGGTCAGAGGGCAGCCTGAAAGGCAGCTGGTGTGGGTAACCCTGAGAGTGGTTCTGTGCCCATGGTGTGACCCTCAGGTAGTTCTCTTTGCCATCAGATACCTCTTTTCATTTATGAAAAGCCTCACAGAAGGGGTGTGCAGGCGAGCTAAAGAGCAGAGGCTGGCAAGCAGGAGGCCATCCAGTGGGCATCAAGCAAGCTCACAGCCAGGCTCCCTTTTGCCCACTCACCCTGGCTGGCCTGCCTTTCTCTCGCCAGATGAAGATAGGGAGTCTGACAACACCTGCATTCCCTGCAAGGCAGGACACTTCCAGAACACCTCCTCCTCCAGTGCCCGCTGCCAGCCCCACACCAGGTAAGAGCATCCCACCCATGCCACAAAGCCCAGATGCTCTTGTCCCTCCCATGCTTGAGCCCATAGGCTGTCCGGGCCACATTCACCTCAGCTCCCTTGAACAGGGCACTGATGGGCAGGGGCCGAAGAGTTCACAGTTCTCTCTCTTCTGCAGGTGTGAGGACCAGGGCTTGGTGGAGGTGGCTGCAGGCACTGCCCAATCTGACACAGGCTGCAAAAGCCCACCAGAACCACTGCCCCCTGAGATGCCAGGTGAGAGACCAGGGCTAAACGGCATGAGACAGAATCCTTTTCACCTGGGAAAGGGGAAAGATTAATCATTCCTTCCAAGAATGGAGTGAGAAGAAACGTTCCTTAAATTGTAGCCTCACTGGCTAGTTTACTTACATGCATGTGCACTTTTTGAACCGCAGATAATGTCGTGACAAGATAACGCCCCTCCATGAAGTTGTAACTGACATTGTCATTTTACACTTGGCCTTCATCAAATGTCCCTTACTGGACTGCAGACCTCCTTAGAGGCCACACGCTTTCGCTGTTGGAGAGATTATCTCCCCATTGGACTTGTTCTTGGTTTTTTCCTGATTGATTTCCCCAGTCTAGTGGATCTGACTATAGGGCGTTTCTGATGATTGTAATCCTTATTGACAGTTTACTGGCTTTTTCAAATTACCAGATATTTATAATTGCCACTTTTGTTTATTGAGAATAGCACATCAGGTCATCTAAACACTTTCTTTTCAGTATCTCATGTAATATCTTTACTGATTCTATGACATACAAGGGTTGATCAAAAAATATGGTATTGTGTGTTTAAATTTAAAAATTATTACAGTTAAAAAACACGTTTCCATTAAACCCCCTTGAGACATTCACACAGCAACTAGCTTGCCTCCTCTTGCTTTATCCCATCCCTCTTGCCACTTTCTGAAGCTGTTCTAGAAATTCTCTTTCATGAGTGTCTTTATAATATGTGATCAAAAAAGATGGTGACTACTGCTGCTGAGTGCCAACCAATAAAAAGGTGGTCACCACCTCATTCACCAGATCTGGCACCATGCCACTTCCAGCTGTTCCCCAAAGCCAAATGACCATGAGAGAGGGGCTGGGGAGTTAGCTCAGCGGCATAAGCAGCTGCCTTACAAGCAGGCAGTCGTGAGTTCGATCCCCGGTACTGATAAAAATGAAAAAGACAAAAAAAAAAAAAAAATGACCATGAAAGAGAGACCTTTGATATTGATTCAGTACACTTAAAGACTCTGGGAAAAGCAGATCTCACCAGAACTGCCTCAAAAAGTGGCAAGGATGATGGCATAAGTGTGTCCAAGGCAAAGGGACATCTTGAGGGAGATTATTAGTAATGTGTCTTTTAATGGAATTAAGTTTTTAAAAGTTAAAATGTTCACCATGTTACTTGATTATATTGCGTAGGTTCTTTTATTAACCTCACTGAGGATCAAGGAGGTTAAGTGACTTGTCCAAGATCAGTCAGCCCAGTGGTAACCAGTGTTATTAAGAGCCTTTTTTACTCCAAAGCCCATGGCACAATGCACACACACACACTCTCTCTCTCTCTCTCTCTCTCTCTCTCTCTCTCTCTCTCTCTCCAGAAAATTAGAGGCTGGGGATATAGTTTAGTGAGACAGTGCCTGCCTGGCAAGCACAAGGTCCTGAGTTTAATTCCTGGTACCAAAAAAAAAGAAAAATTAGAAAATGCAGATAAGCAAAACTAAAAAGTCACCTATAGAATCATTATTTAGCATATCCACACTTAGTATTTTGGTATATTTTCTTCCGGGCATTTTCCTATGCAAATCTATAGATATGAATGTGTTCACTAAAAATGGAATAATTTGAATGGTCTATAACCTGATTGGGGGGTTACTGGGGCTGGAACCCAGGATCTCACACATACTAAGCAAGCCCTCTACCACTGAGCTACATGCCTAGCCCTTATGATATGATTTTGTGATCATTGAGGTATCATATCTATTTTCCCATGTTCTCTTAAAATTTTTAACTATATATCAGACTGGCACTTTGCCACTGCAATTTGAGTACGTAGCTAATCAGCTCATTTTGTGTGTGAAAAGCTGATGCCCAAATCCCTTAAAGTCACCTGGACAGAACCCAGATGTCCCATATCCAGACTCCTGGTCCAGCCGTCCCATCCTGCAGCCTGCCCTCAGGCTGCAGATTCGGGTGGATGAGAAGGGCTAGAACTCCCAGGATGCAGCCAGGCACCAGGGTACCTGCTTATCATCCCGGATGCTCTGGAGGTCGAGACAGAAGGATTGAAAGCTCAAGACTAATGGGCAATTTAGCAAGATCTTGTCTCAAAATAAAAACATAAAAACTGAAGATATTGCTCTGTGGTAGAGCTCTCTTGGGTTCAGTCGCCAGTGCTGCAAACAACAAATAAACAGAACTTGCAGTATACAAACACCCAAGCACTCCTAACCATCACCAAGCAACACAGATGAGCCCTGTTTTTTGTTTTCTTTTTTTCCTTTTCATCGGTACCGGGGATCGAACTCACGACTGCCTGCTTGCAAGGCAGGCGCTTATGCCGCTGAGCTAAATCCCCAGTCCTGATGAGCCCTGTTGATGCCATGCTCTCAATAACAGCCTGAGGTCATAGCAGGACAGACATTGTCCACAGGAATAGATCAGGGTCACAAAGATCAAAGTCCCGCCTCTGCTCTCCTCCTTCTGAAACCTGTCCTGAGCAAGGGGATGGAGAACTTAGCAATGGCAGAGCTCTGAAGTGAGCTCCCCTGCCACCCCTGTCACGCTCCCCGCAGAGATGTCTCTACTCTGTGGCCTGAGCCTGTTCACAACCCCAATCCCACTTCCCCTTGAAAACCAACTGCCTACGCTCCCTCACTCTCCCTCGATCCTGGTCTTTGAGCAGGGGAGGCTCCTACGGCCTCCCCACACCCCTTCATCCATGATAGGAGCTTTCAAGAAGTCCTCCCAAGCCCAGCTTAGGGCTCCTTCTCTGTAGCCCAAGGGAAATGGCTCTAATTCTGCAGAATGGTCAGAGGAAAAAGCTGCTCCCCCTTTTCCCTGTCTGGGTTACCCAAAGGACAGGAAGCTCCTCCTTAGCTTCCTCCCCGCCCTTCCGGCATCACCCCCATCCTGTCTGCTGTCCCGCAGGAACGATGCTGGTGCTGGCCATTCTGCTGCCCCTGGTCTCCTTTCTGCTCCTCACCACTCTCATCGCCTGCACCTGGAAGAGCCACTCCTCTCTCTGCAGAAAGCTGGGTAGGAAATAAAACAGCCCTCTCCCCCCTAGTGGGGCTTGCAGGAGAGGGGCAGGGATATGCAGCTGACCCAGGGCAGGCCTTCTGCCCCCCTCCCGACCCTTAGGGTTCAACCCTGCTCCCCACTTCCCTGGACTCAGGGCACTGAGTCCTCCCTCCTCAGCCCTCACTCCCGGCCTGCAGATGAGGGAGAATAGATAACAACCTTTCCTGCTGGAACCCTGCATGGGGCGCTGCCTGGGCTAGAGGCGCTTCTGGAGGGTGGGAGACCAGGGGCTTGAGGCCTCTCACTCGTGTCATTTTTTTGTTGCAGGATCACTGCTCAAGAGGCGTCCAGAGGTAACCAGGGAGGCTGATGAGGCAGCAGTGGGGTGAAGGTGACCAGGGGTGGGGAGCAGCCAAAAGAGTGCAAAAGTAATAGTTTATTGAATATGCCATGTGCCAGGCACTGTGCCAGGCACAGGGTGGAGGCCAGGCACCAAAGGGAGCAAAGCCAAGCACCTCCCCTCCTGGACTTTATGTGCTAACCACGAAAACAAGGTTAAACATCAATCAGGGTAAAGGATGAGGGTGTGTTGTTTTAGAAAGAGTGGGCAGAGAAGGCCTCTCAAATACGATGGTATTTGAGCAGAGAACTAGGTGACAGCCAGGGGGCTGGGGGAAAGCACTCCAGGAAGCAGAGGCATCAGTGCAAAGGGCCTGAGGCAGGGGCTATGTGAGGAGCAGAGGCCCAGAAGGAGTCACCAAAGTGAGGAGTGGAGTGAGCTGAGCTCTGGGGTCCCTCGTCAGTGGTTGGTTCTCTGCCTCTTTTCTGCAGGGAGAGGAGTCCTCCTCCTGCCCCCTTCCAAGACCAATCCCTGACTTGGTAAAGCCACTTCTGCCCATCTCTGGAGATTTGTCCCCAGGCCCCGCCAGACCCCCCGGATCCCCACCTTTGGAGGAAGTGGTGCTGCAACAGCAGTGTCCTCTGGTCCAGGCCAGCGGGGCGGACGCTGAGCTGGGGGAGCAGGGCCAGGTGGCCCACGGTGAGTCTGCGGAGGCCGTGATGGGAAGGCGGTGTGAAGGGGGGAGTGCAGCTGGATGGAACAAGAACACCAGGACAGAGCGGACAGAGACCCTGACAGCCAGCCAGTGTCATACCCAGAGGGACAGGAAGAATCTGGAAACCCAAAACTACAGAGCTCCAGAAGCTGGGAGCTGTGGGAGGGGGACAGGAAGGCAGGTCTGCAAGCAGTGGTGCGGCCCCTTGTCAGGGGTCTCCCCTCAGTGCTCCCTCCGCGCCTCTCATTCTGCCTTCCTTTCCACAGGTGCCAATGGCATTCATGTCACCGGGGGCTCTGTGACTGTTACTGGCAACATCTACATCTACAATGGGCCGGTACTGGGGGGAGCACGGGGCCCTGGAGACCCTCCAGCTCCTCCTGAGCCTCCATACCCGACTCCTGAAGAGGGCGTGCATGGGCCTTCTCAGCTCTCTAGGCCCTACCAGGAAGATGGCAAAGCTTGGCACCTGGCCGAGACAGAGACACTGGGGTGCTACGCCCTCTGACCGGGCCCAGGAGCCAGTTCGTCACCCATGCCTGGTGATGGCTGAGAGACAGAAGAAGAGGGGCTGAGAGCCCACAGGATTCACCAGCAGCCTGGGCAGGCCTCTGTAGGCACGGCCCTAAGGTACCAGGCCTCAGATACTTCTTAAGAGAGTGGGCTGAGCCCCAGCTGGGGACAGTGCCCCCACAGGACTCTCACCGCTGCCTGGGCGAGCCTGCCACGTTGGTGTAGACCCACTGCCTGCAGGGGCTGTACCCGCTCAGCCTTGGGCACAGACCGGGCCTGTGATGCTAACCGCTGCCGACCGTGGCACTCACACCCCAAGCATGGACTAACGGAAGCTCAGTGGTCACACGGTGGGTCACCTACAAGGACATCCTCAGGATCTCTGGAGGACTTATGGTGCTCAGCCCCAAGCTTCAGAGGCCCGAGGTGGACCCTGGATGCAGATGAAGTTATGTGGAGGATAACCCAACCCTCACCTCCTGGAGGAGGGAAGACAGAGTCGGTCAAAACCTGGGTTTGGGCAGGGCTGTAGTAGGGGGAAGAGTGGGAATGGAGGGAAATGACAGGTATATTTATAAATTGTAACCACATGTAAATAAAGAGGAGGCGATTGAGACCCAGGTAACTTGTTTTCTTGGGGTTGATATAGCAACCTCAGTCCATTAGGGCAGTGTCAATGTAAAGGTCAGGACTTGCAAGTCCCACAGGAGGATTTCTCTGGGGACCTGGAGATGCAGTCTAGATAACAGCACAGTCGGAGTAGCTAACAATGCTGAGAATGGACGGCATGCCTTATCAGAGTTATGTCTTTAGTTCTCACAACACCTCTGTGAGGCAGATAAGCCACAACTCTCCAGGTTTTGTTTGGTTAGAAGCTTTTGGGGGTGTTTTTGTTTTTGCCATACTGGGGGGTATAACCAGGGCCCATACATGGTTCGCAAGTACTTTATCATTGAGACACACTCTAGGCCCCCAGAATTTCTCTGAATGGTAGAGGATTTCTCCCTCATCCCTTGCACCCCAAACTCCAGCACCATGCAAGGTGGAACATGCTCTCCAGGGTTGGCTGAATCAAAAGATGTGCACCGGAAACAGGTCAAGTTCACACTCTGTGGCTGAACTGACATCTAGGTGGCCACCTTTTAGCTCAGAAGGAGCACCTTGTGATTACTGATGTTTTTTTTAATCCCATTTTCTCTTTCCCCAAAAATAATCCTAAAACTTCTTTGGCACTGGACATGATGGTGCAGAACTGTAATCTCAACACTCTGGGAAGCTGAGGCAGGAGGGTCACAAGGTTGAGCCCAGCCTGGGCAACTCAGTAACTTGGTGAGTCACAATGCACCTGAGTGCTGGGGACTTGGTTTGGTCATGCACAGTGGTAATCCCAGCTCTCAGGAAGATGAGGCAGGAAGATCATGAGTTCAAGCCGAGACTGGATTACATAGCAAGACCCTGTCTCCAAAGGGGCTGGGCTGTAACTCAGTGCAAAAGCCTAGTAATGGGAAAAAAATTTTTTTCTCTATCACTCTTATTGAAACTGTCTACCCCGCTACTCAACCATTATACACACTGCTTGGCAGAGGTGATCCTAGCTTGAGGAATTGCTAGGAGAACAGCTGCCAGCTGACTGCTCCTTCCATAAAAGGTTACTGCCGCAGATCTAGTGTTAGACACTCTGTTGCTGGCCTTCATCAAGATGGTGTAGGAGCCAAACACAAACCCCAGGAGTCATCTGGGGCAAGTGATGGGTTATTTAAGGTTACTGTGAAAGCAGTATGGGATCCAGCCTCCTTTTGTGAGCAGGCAGTGATGGTGAGCTACATCTTCACACACAGACACCTTCAGCCTCCTGAAGTGTACTAGAGCCAGAAACATGAACCCATCATAATTATTCCAATGCCCTAGACTATAAAAACAAAAAAAGGGTTATGCATTTCCCAACAAAATAAAGTGTCTAAAGAAAAGATTCGAAAGCATAGCACTATGTGATCGTGTTCAAATTTAGTAGTATAGCTACCTGTACTGTATTAGTACAAACAAAGTCTTCTTGGTATTTGCACTGAGATTGCATTAAATGTATAGGGTAATTCAGGCATTTGATATCTTCCTTGTATGGGCTCTTCCTGCGAAGAACAATACCCCTTCTGAATTTGTTGATAGCTTTCTATTTGTGCTGCAGTAGCATTTTAATGTTTTCTTAGTACAGATCTTGAGCATCTCTTGTTAAGTCCTTTTGGACTTAACAAGGTGTTTGTCTTTGTGCTACAGAGGTGAGATCATCTCTTTTTTGTAATCTAGCCATCCATTGGATTCTTTCATCTGTAACAGTTTTAAAAAAAAAAACTCTCTGAGGTTATCACCTCTAAATAATGTAAAATCTCTCTCCTGTCTAATTTTTATACTTCTAGTAGTTTAAATCTTACATAAATGCATTACTTAGGACATTCGCAACAACATTAAATTCTGTCTTGTTTCTGATTTTCATGCCAGTAAGTCTAATATTTTCTCATGAAGCAGGGGATGAAATAGACACATTGATTTTATTATGCTAAGAAAGCACCCACATGTTACTATTTCACAATAATCAGTGGTTAATGGATAAAGGGTGGGAACAGGGAGCTCAGGGAGAAGGCTTTGCAGCAAGGATGTGAGGGAAGGTGGGTGATGCAGGGCTGTATCCTGGAGGCAGAGTCAACAGGAGGTGCTGACGGGCTCACATCCCAGCTCTTGTTTTATGGCCTTATTTTGCCACTTTGTTAAATTCATCTAGCACTCGCTTTCAAAATTAACATTTGGAAAAGTATTAAATGAGTAGCTACTAGGCGTCTTTAAATAAGCAAACACGACAGACATGATGCATAACTTTCTGGAGCTTGTAAAATGATCACTGTGATCTCAGAAACACAAGGTGTAATCAGGGAGCTATTCGAGGCTTGGAGATCAAGAAATGTCCTAAAGGAGACGTGTGAGGCACCCTGAAGAATGATGAAGGGTTAGTGGAGTGAAGGAGTGTGGGGAGGGGGCCCTCTGGAGGAGTGGGTGGGGTGTGCAAAAGCCCAGTGACAGGAGCTTGAGAGTAGAGACATGCAAGTGGAGATGGAGGCAGGAAACAGATGATTCACATTTATAAACTGCTGTCTAGCCAGGATTTTGGACTTTAACCTAAAAGCAATAAGAACCTACTAAAAGTTTTTTTTTTTTCCCCACCAATGCAGTAAAATAGGGGAAGGGTTCTAATCTTAGATTCAGAAACTAAAGAATTGTGCCACACTCCTGTTCCCACCCCAGGAGACCCAGGTCGGCTGTGCGCCCTGTCCCCCAGAATCTATTGCTGGAGTCCCAGCTTCCGCCCAGGGGAGGGAGCGTGTCTGGGGACAGGACGCTCCCCCCGACCCCACCCCGCAAAGGTCCGCTTCTTTTTCACTATTTTGATTTCAATCCTCATCAGCCGACTTTATTTGGACTTTATTTGTAAATGAAAAATCACCCTTCTTCCGTTAGTGCCAGGGATTGAACCTGGGCCTCGCGCGTGGGAGGCAAATGCTCCACCACCGAGCGACTCCCCTCCCACCCCATGCTTTACTTTTCCCGCCTAGCCTGTGTGCTTTTCTTTTTCAGCCCAGGATTTGGTTTTTGCGTGTGAGACTGTCCAGTTGTTTCGGCCTCGCTTGTTGAAAAGATCCTTTTTTTCCGCTGAAGCCTTTGCAGCTTTGTCCAAAATCAGTTGACAATGTTTGTGTTCATTTAATATTTCTGGCCTCTCTGCTAGCTGCACTGACCTATGTGTTCATCCTTTTGAACTGGGTGGCATAAATCTTGAAAATGGGTTATGTAATTCCTCCAACTGGTTTTTTTTAGTTCCTTTCAGTTTTTCCTTCTGTATAAACTTTAGACTGTAACCCACCACTAGGAGGCTGAGGCAGGAGGGTCATTATGAGTTTGAAGCTAGCCTGAGCTACATAGCAAGACTCTGTCTCAAAAAAATAAATAAACTTTATGAATGAGCTTGTTGATTTCTACTCCCTAAAAAGGAAGCCTGTGGAGATTTTGATTATAAATGCATCAAACCTATAAATAAAATTGGGAGAGTTAGTATCTTTGTAATAAAGTACCCCACTTTATTTATAACTTTGTGAATATTTTTTCCATCAGTATCTTATACTTTTCTACAGAAGTATGCCACACACATTTTTTATATGCTTAAGAATCTCAAGGGGAGGATGCCGTTATAAATTTATTTTTAAGACTGAGGCAGGAGGATCACTGCAAGTTCAAAGCCAGTTTGGCTACAAAGTGAGTTCAATGCCAGCCTGAATTGCAAAACAAAACCCTGTCTCAAAAAAACAACAACAGCAAAAAATCTATTTTAAAATTTTCAAATTATAATTGTTTTTTGTTGATACATGGAAATGTGACTGACTTGTAGGTTTGCCCAGCGTCTTGAAATCTTCCTAAATTTATCTTAAACTAAATGAAGTTCATTTGGGACTGGGGTTTAGCTCAGCAGCCTAAGCGCCTGCTTGGCAAACACGGAGTTAGGAGTTCAATCCCCAGTCCCCCCCAAAAAAGTAGTTCATTTGTAGATTACTTGGGGTTTTTACATAAACAATCATGCTATCATCTAACGAACCCAGTTTTTTTCTTTCTCTCTAATAGGTAAGGCTTTTATTTATGGCCTTTCCTTACTTAACTTGTTAGGCCTTCCAGTGTGACACTGAACAGGACTGCTGAGAGAGGACATTCTGGGTTTGTTCCCAATCTTAATTCAGTCTGTCACCGCTAGACATGGCGCCATCTATAGGTTGTTCACAGATACTCTTTGTTAGGTAGAGGAAGTTCTCATTTTTCCTAGTTTGCTGAAAGGTTTTATCATGAGTGGACATGAAATTTGTTCAGTCCCTTTTTGGTATCTTTTGAGATCATATTGTTTTCTTACTTGGTCTGTTAATATGATGTACTGTATTGATTTTGGACTGTTCAATCACCCTTGCACTCCTGGGCTAATTTCCACTTCATCACCATGTACTGTCCATATGTATTTCTGGATTTGATTTGCTGATATTTTATTAGGAATTTCTCCATCTATGTTCATAGGGGATATTAGTGCCTGTAGTTTTCTTTACTCATAATGTCTTTATCTGATTTGGGTTTTAAGGCAGTAATAAAAGCAGTTAGGAAATGATCCCTACCCCATTTTCCTGAATAAACTGTATAGAAATCAGGTTATTCCTTGGTTAAGTGCTTGGTAGGATTATTGGTGAAACCCTTTGGGCCTAGAGTTCTGTTTCTTAGAATGTTTTTAATTACAAGTTCAATTCCTTTCCAGATAATTCCTCTTGAGTAAGCTTTGGAAGTTTGTATCTTTTCAAGGAGGCTAATTCAAGTTATCAAATTTACAGCCATAGAGCTGTATCCTGTGTCCCTTTATAATGCCTGTGGCATCACTAGTGATGAATCTTCATTGCTAGTACTTACAGCTTCTTCCTGTCCGTTCCTGCTACCTTCTCCCCTGTCTGCCAGGTGAGAGCTTTACCAGGTTTACTGATCTTTATAAAGAATGAGCTCTTTATTTTAGTGACTTTTTACTCATGCTACACCAGTGCTCTAGCACTGACCT